CTACTCTAAGTTCACTTAGAAAACTTGTCAAAGGGAAAAGGGGATAAATAAATGCCAATGATTGCTTTTAGGACTCAGAGTGCAAAAAACCGGAAAGAAAACATCAGTATAAAGCACACAGTGACTCAAGTTTTTGCTGGCAGAGAATTTGCTTGTGTGAACAGGGAGTAAACAGCAGCTTCCTGTGCTCAGGCACAGTGAAAAACTGGTTAGCTGAAGAGCAGGAAATACTGCAGGGCTCAAACTGCAGAGATAAAAGTCGTCTCCTTTCTGCTTCAGTGTTACTTCTTTACTTTTTCTTTTGTTGCTAGAAAAAGTCTTTGTCTACAATTTAGTTCTGTTTCAACAACAAGTAATCACAGCTGTTATCTCTGTACTGGGTCACTAACACAGTGGTGAGGAATAGAATGCAAGATGTTTCCTTCCAGATAGTTTTGTTAGCAGGGAAAAATGAAAAGGTGTGGAATTTTGGGGGGAGAGGAGGAGTGGTGGGATATCAGTTTGCATTTTTAAGTCATGCCAGCACCAACATGGGCACATCTTCAGTAGTGAGCACATGCTGAGAACCACGTAAATGTCTAGAAAGACTGAAAAAAAAGTTTAGTCATAATTTGGACCAAAGCCAGGTGAAAATTAATGCTTATGTTATTGACAGTGTTCAAAGATCCACCTTTCCCAAAGCATGATGCAATTTTTGATAAATATCATTTTTTCAAGAAAAATCTTTGCACCAGAAGCAACACAAGCTGTTAAGCAGTCATAGAAAATAAGTATTATAGTCAAATAGATATGAGTAAAAGTAGCCCCATGTGACAATTTATACTACATTCAGTTATTTTTGTAAGTGCGAGGAGGTCAACAAATAAAAAATCTCCAGCCCGGGTTATCCCTGCCACGGGCTTATATGAATCTGATAGTTTAAGCTGCTTCAACTTTCCACCTCACTGGTTCCTACTGACTTCTCTAGAACACAGTCTTAAATTCAGCAGTCACTGTATTCAAGTAACTTGGAGAACAGAAATGTCAGCAAATAGAAGGATTTCAACCATATAGTTGCTAAAGACCTTTTGAACTGTAAAATGTATTACAACAGAGTTAGGATCTGAAAGAAGGGGGGTGGAGACTAGATGTTCAGTTTTGTGGTGTAGGGAAAGAAAACAAAATTTAGGTATGTCTACCTTTCTGGAAAATGCAACAAAAACAAAAAGACAACATGATAGAAGAAAAGAGGGAGGACAATCCTTTTATCCCGTCTCAAAGGCTGAAAAGGCTGTGTGGGAGAACCAAAACCCTTTATAGCATCTCTTGCTATTATTCATAGCATCTCTTTTAAAGCACTGAAATAGAGCAGTGAGAGACTTTATACAAATATGCACAAAATAAACTGGATAGGAAATCTAGAAAAGGCAGTAGCCATGTTATGCCAGTATTTCAAGAATAAGGACTTTGTACTCCGCCTGGAATTCATGTCAAATCTGCACAGCAGTTTCAGTTTGCTGACTGTTGCTGGCAGGGATCCCAGGTGGTGTCCATTCTGGAGGCGGGGGGAAGGGAGAGCAAGAGGAAAAGGAGCAAATCCCAGCCCACTTTTGCCCACTCACTTCTTACAGGATCAGGACTGCTCGGCACACCAAGGAGCAAGAGGGATTTCGGAACAAAAAGAGTAACTGAGACAAGGGTTTGTTTGTTTTCCACATGTAAAAAGGTGTTGGCCTTTTTTATTAGTCCCGATGATCATTTATCGTGGCTTACTGGCTTACAGAGGGAATTACTATCTGACATATTCTTGGATTTCTCTAAGAAATTTCTGATTTCTAGCAGCTGCTGTTAGTTTTATGAATCTCTTGCTTTTTCATTTAACAGCTAAGGAAAACTAGAGCCCAGTACCGGCTTCATCACATGTCAGCACTGTCAGTAAGAGCTCTATTTTCAGAAGGAATCAGAACCTAACAGAGAAATGTGAATACATGTATTTAAATTGTGGGGGTTGTTTAATGTGTGGTACTTCTTCTACTCCTTCAGTAAGAGCAATGCTCCTAAAATGGCTTTCAGTAAATCAGATGGTGCCACAGCCAATGGTATTAGATCAAAGTATCGTTTTAATACCACCAGTGCACCTCCCTGGTTCAAAGTTCACAGTTTTCCTGAAGGGCTGTACAAAGTCTCTGTCTAAATACCGACACGCGTGCTGTGACCAGCTGGCTATGGTGCAAGAACCTGGGGGAGAATGTGTACAGCAGCAGAGCTATTGTAGCAGCTTTGAAACCATATCAACTCCCTGGGAACTCAAGGGATTTCTTAAATGTTCAGATCTGTCTGGTTCTTTTGCTCCACTGCTTGCTGTAGACTGAGAACGTTTTCATTGCAATAGTTTTAGCTTAATCATATAACACAAGCTCTTTAAATGCAATGCTGTCTAACAGTTGCTGGAAAGGCAGAGCTCTGCCACAATTGTTAAAGCATCTTAAAGATATCACCATTATAGATGATGACCAGAGCCATCGCTCGTTCTTTATTCTTACAGGTTAATGCCGTCATGCACTTGCCTGATCATCACCCCAGCTCTGTCCTGTAGGACCACAGTTCATCGGGGTTTCAGGGGAACTGCAGTCAGGCTGTGATAATGAAACACCACTACGCTGCCATCTCAAAAAGATTTGAGATCCCAGTAATTAGTCCTTTGCTTTTCAAAGCACAATATTGGGCTTCAGGCATCTGCATCCGCAGTACAGTCTTGCTTCAAACAGTCACTGCATTGGGTCAGAGAGGTCTTGCTGCTTCTCCATTAATCTCTGACTCAGCCACTGGGCAGGGAAGATGAACTGTCAGTAGTGTCTTTCAAGATCTTGCCAACAGTAAAGGGAAACTCAACGCTACAGAAAATTCTGTAACTGACAGCAATCAAGTTTGTTGGGTTTTTCTTGACTTTTTTTCTGTTTGTTTCTGTGTTTGTTTGTTTTATTGTTGGGGGGGAGGGTTGTTGTTTGCTTGGGGTTTTTTCTTTTGGTGGGTTTGTGGTTTTCTTTGGGGTTTTTTGGGCTTTTTGTATTTTTTTGGTGGTGGTATTGTTTTTGGTTTGGGTTTTTTATTTCCCATATTGTCTCAGCCATAGCCAAACAAGCATCTAGATGTTGCTTGGACAAATCATCAATGGACCCCAGGTTCTGACTCTTTTAATACCATTTTCCTGGTCAAAATAAAAATATCTGCAATTTTTTAATCTTATGGTTCATCCTTTGAAATGTACAGGGAGGATTATACTCTGGTCTGGCCAGTTTAGTATTCCTTAGACATTCAAGAACACTGATATATACTAAAAGGGCAGAAAAAACATTCTCAGAAAATACTATATTTTCCTGCTGATTTTTGGAGGAAAAAACCCCACAAGTCTTTCATTAGTCCAGATGAAACTTTTCAGTTCTCTGTGTTTAGAAGTGACTGTTTGTTTACAAATGGGTTTTGAGTTGTTATAGAAAGTAAATATTATAATTACTTTCAATCTCTTCCTTAATACAGCTGACGACACCTTTGTTCTTGTTCTGTTTTGAAATGGAAAGAAGGGTTGAAAAGCAGGGATTTTGCATGGATAGGATATTTCAGATTTTTCTGTCCCTTTTCACAATGAGGGAATCAATAGCATATCTAATTTAGCACAATGTACACCCTGAAGGCGAGCATGTGCCAGTCCTCAGTGGAGCCAGTTTACGATGTACTTCTGTGTTACTGTTTGCACAATTCCAGTGCAATGTTTTCTGAAGATCCCTTAGGCCATTCACAAGGAAAAGGAGTGCATTTCCCAAGCCATTCTTTTTCCAAAGAGAAAAAGAGTGTGCTCTCTCTTTCAGCAAGCACAGAAAATCGCTTCCACTCATAAAGTTTGCCTTGTGAGACAAAAATAAATATTTAGAAACTGAATGATTATTTCTAGATTTTTAAAGGTTGAGTTCATAGAGTTGGCAGGTAGAAAACCCAGCAAATTAAATTTATAAATGGCATTAAGCTTTGGAGTTCTTTAAGGAAATAAAGATATTTCTGTTTACAGATAGTTTTTAGTAACATTCAGAGATAAATACCTCTTTGAATGTACTAGATGGCATCTAAACATGAAAACATTACAGTCCCTTCTCTAAGAATTACACTGCAAATATTAGTTTCCAGGATGGCTTTTATTTGATGTATTTTTTGTATTTTCTAATCTCAGTAAAGGTTAGATTATTTTCCTTAAAGTTGATCTGAGGTTAAGTAGAAAGTGAGATACTAGTTTTACTTACCACTACCTCATTTGTAAAATGGTGAAAACCTTCCTTTCAGTGAACACCAACATTTCTGTGTGTGTATTGCGTAATAGGCACCTTTGGCATTTTTTTAAAGTCATTAACATTTAGCCTTCTTTCCAAATTCCGACAAGTCCTCCTGGAGTTATCAGCAGTTGGAAACAGGCCAGATCTTGAGGAACTTCGTGCAAGATCACTGGAACTGCTGGGCTCTGATTTTTTTTTTTGCTTTTTCACCAGAATTCATATGACCAGTTATGGACCTGTTTCATACAAGGGAAAACTATGAAGTTTATCAGGGAAAACAATGGTAAGAAAAACATTCACTGAGAGTCTTTCTTGGTTTTAGGTGTTGTTCTTAAGAAAATGTAAACAAATCTCTACTTTCTCCCTGCCACTCCTGCCACAACTCATTGAGGATCTAAGAGTAGCTAATACAGGTTTGGATTTATTGGTATTTCAAGACCTTTTACCCTACTTTTATAAGACACAGAAGTTTAGGAGTATGTATAATATGTAGTATAGGACTTACTGTACTTACTATGTATTAGTACTAGTACTTACTACGCATTTAACACATTGTAGTATCTATTAATGAACTCAGAAGGTATGTTCTAGCATGTGGGTATCTGTAAGCTTCTGACTGCAAACACCTTGAACAACTAAAACATGCATGGAGATATTCTTAGGGATATATCTTAGGAAGATAATCAAGTTTAAGCTTGTTGCTGCACCTTGATTTTGCAGATGGTCCCATGGCTTAAGGAGCACTTTTCAAACACTGTATGTAGGAATGGGTGCAGTAGATGCAATAGTCAAGCCATTGCCATAATGACCAGTGTGACTTCACACCAATTACCTTCATGCTCCTGTCCCACTCATTCCAGGAGCCTTAACAGGACCATCCCACACCCGTGTGCAAGGAGTGCCTCAGGACACTTGCAAGTATCCAACCACTCAATCTACTGGGAACATCCGCTGAGATCAGGGTATACGTCGATAAAGAAATGCAGACACAAAATTTCTGTGCGAATAAATAACAATAATAAATAAATCAATAATATAAAAATCATAATAATTTAAAAAATTACTGATAATAGAAAGCTCAAGGACTTTTTTAAATATTCAGGAGCTCCATCTACTGGCAGTATTTGGTTGCTGTTTGACTATACTGAGTCCCCATAAAACTTTAAGAATAATACTTTGAAGTCCATTGTAAAGCTTAAAGTTGTTTTTTGTAATGTTACCTCTTTACTTTTACTTTTAGGAGCTATTTAAACATTTGGCTAATTTTATGCTTGTTTCCAAGAACCTGTGTATCAAGTCCTTCAAAACCTAATTTCTTGCTGATACTGGCTGATGATCTTGGTATTGGAGATGTGGGTTGCTACGGCAATGATACAATAAGGTATGAAATAAATTATCCCTTCCTGGTGAAGTAAAAAAAGCACTGATGACAGTATTAAAAAATTCAGTATTAACTGATTAGATACACTTCTTTTCAACCTACGTACAAAATAGTTGCTCTACAGTAATTTCTACTCTAATCAAAATTATACAAGCATGCTTGAGAAACTTTCTTGGACTTAAAACTTTACAATTATGCCTGTGCAGTGTACTTGTCAGGCATGTGTATAATGTACAAATTTCCACAACTCCAGGGAGATGAAGAACTGAGATTAGAATTTAATATCAGTTAACAACTTTAGTAGGCATTTTAGGACAGCTTAGACTAGGCATTTTAGGCATTTAGACAGCTTAGACTATGTGATATATTTATCCCTAGTGCAGTTATCAATCTGTATGTAGATTGATTGAGAGAATGATTGTAGAGATATCCTATCTTTGCTCTAGCCTGTTATAATCTTGGATATTGTGTTTTCCTGTATCTATTAACAGACTCTTTTTCCCTATGCTGCATGAGATTTTGATATGAGACAGACCTGAAATACCTTCTCTTCCTCCCTCTCCCCCCTTTTTTAGTTATTAATAAAAACATACATATCCATGGAAAATTAATTTCTAAGGAGTCGAGGTGTCTCAAAAATATATATAACACAGAGCTTTTCTAGTTGAGTTGTAGGTAAACAGATTTTTGTAAATTTGATGGTGATGTTCTCCACAAAACTAAGAGGAGTGGGATACCATGAACTTCTGTGTAACATGTTTTTATCAGAGATGGGATTTTTCTCTTTAGGACTCCTAACATTGATGGCTTGGCAAAGGAAGGAGTGAGACTTAATCAGCACATTGCTGCAGCTGCTGTCTGTACTCCAAGCAGAGCTGCTTTCCTGACTGGCAGATACCCCATCAGATCAGGTTGGGCCACTCTAATGGTTTGATGTAGTTAGTCTAGTCAGTGTTGATATTAAAAATCCCCTTAAACAAACAATTTTAAAGACTAGTTAATCTTGGGATTTGGAGTTTCAGTGAGATGGGAAAAAATAGAGATGAGTAATGATTGATTTCTATGGGAAAATGCCCACATAAAGCACATTTAATGTGGCTAAATGGATGAAAATCTAAACAGCACAAAGCACCTACAGACAGAAAAATGAAGAAGAAAATTATGCAAATGCTGCCTGTTTAGTGGTATTAAGATTATATTAAATGTAATATTTTTAATATCCTGGCAATTTTTTTCACAGTGAAATGCGTCAGACTGTGGAATAGTTCTCAGTTATTATGTTTTAAAACCAATTTACTTCAGCCATGTAAATTTATGACAGAAAACTTCAGCCACCGCATATGGCAATAGTAATCAGTGCAGCACCTCTGATGTGATTCTGATTTGCTTAAGGAGAAATGTAATCATGAACTGTGCATTTCAGAAGTGTGTCCCCCTGACTCTGTAAACCTTTTGTTCTATAAAAAACTTATTTTCTTTTTTTCTAACATTATATTTTGATAGAACTTTGATTGTAAGACGTTGCCTAATGTCCAAACATAGCCGTCTTCCTGCCACTTGTAGACACCCCAGCATAGCTGAGGCATCTGCATTGGAGTAGCATATAATGACATGGGACTTGGAAGAGACATAATTCTGGAGGCCGATCAGAATATCCCACGTCATACTACGTGGCTTATAAAAAGGCACTAGGCTTAGACAACTGAGTCCCATTCATTAGAAAGCACATTCTGAGCAGACTGAAAATCTGAAATCTGGCTTGTTTTATTTTAAAGACTATTATTCCTCTGTAGGCATGGCCTCCAGCACTCAACAGCAGGTCCTCTTTTGGAACGGATGTTCTGGGGGGCTTCCACCAAATGAAACTACTTTTGCCAGAATACTGCAGCAGCAAGGTTATTCTACAGCACTTGTAGGTATGAGACAGAGCAACTTGTCACCTTTTAATTGCTTATTATTCAAATTAGGCTGATTCTGTACATACATTTCTTTTTTGCAAAATGTCTAGGATCAGTTAAACTAGATTTTCTTGTATGCACAACTTTCAAAATCAACAGGGTTTTTAGAATGCTATCCACAAGTCCCAATGTCAGTAAAGCATATCTGATAGATCCAAAATGAGAATATATGGAATATATAAATTCACACTGCAAATGGAATTAAATTCAAAGGAAAGAATCTTGTTTGCCCAGTCCAGATTGCTTTAGGATGAAACAACAGAGATTTTTACTGATCTATTAGAGCAGAAAAATATTGTCTGCTGGTTGGTACTGAGACACCAGTAGTCTTAATTGTATCGACTTCAGCACAGTAGTCTTAATTATATTGACTTCAGCAAGGTTTTTGACACTGTCTCTCACAACATCCTCATAGGCAAATTCAGCATGGACTGGATGAGTGGACAGTGAGATGGATTGAGAACTGGCTGAACAGTAGATCCTGGAGGGTTGTAATCAGTGTCACAGGGTGTAGTTAGAGGCCTGTCACTAGTGGTGCCCCCAAGGGTCAATACTGGGCCCAGTATTGTTTGACTTATTCATCAGTAATGAAGATAATTAAGGGACTGAAGCATTTGTCTTATGAGGAAAGGCTGAGGTAGCTGGGCCTGTTCAGCCTTGAGAAGAGACAACTGAGAGAGGACCTCATCAATATGTAGAAGTATCTGAAGGGACCGTGTCAAGAGGAAGGATCCAGGCTCTACTCAGTGGTGCCAAGCAGTAAAACAAGAAGCAATGGGCAGAAACAGGTGCACAGGAAGTTCCACTTGAAAATAAGAAGAACTTCTTTACTGTGAGGGTGACTGTGCACTGAAAGAGATTCCCCAGAGAGGCTGTGGACCTACCCTCACTGGAGATATTTAAGAACTGTCTGGACATAATCCTGCGCAATGTGCAAGGAAAACCCTCCTTGAGCAGGGAGGTCAGACCAGATGACCCACTGTGGTCCCTTTCAACCTTACCCATTCTGTGATACCTGGTGGCAAGATTTTCTGTTATTTAAACATCCTGCTTATTATCACAGTTAGGATGGTAAAAGTCCCTTTATTTCTGCAAAAGGAAACCCTTACAAAAAAAGCTCAAATAATCCCATTTACTTCAGTGGGTCTTGGCTCAAAATACATGTCTGAAAAAAGAAAATCCTGTTAACTCTTTGCTAATTTTGACTGAAGAGCAATTAAAGGCTGTGTGTTTCAAGCATCTCTCCTTTTTAAACCCCTTTTGATGTAGTCAAAGGTGTGTTGTGCTTAGTTGTAATTACTGTGCTTTTCACACCTCTGCTCAGCTCTGCACACTGAGGTGTCATTTAGTTCCTAAATTGAAGCAAGTCTCAGTGATGTACTGACTTCACACCCTGCTCACTGCAGTCTGATATAGCTTATACTGTAAACTACATTCATGTACACAAGTGCAGGACTGGTCAGCAGTTCTCAGAAGTTATTTGTCTAGGTAATAGCTCCTAAGCCCTTGGTTATAGACTGTGTCCTTCAATGTCAGGATAATTACACTGCTCTGTAATATGACTTAATTAAGGTTCATTATCACTGTATTACATATTCTGATATATCCAATTGTACTGGATAATTGGAATGGCCTATTTCTGCTACTCATTTTAGGATGAGTATGGCCACACAGAGCCAATACATACGTCTTTTTCCGGAAATTTGTTCCAAGATTATGAAGGTCAGATAGAAATTGTGTGTAAAATATTTCATATTTTTGCACTTAGCTGTTTCTTTTGACACAAGGATGTCTTCAGTTTCTCCCCACCATGTTACCTGTTAATGCATGGCTACTTCATCATGTGAAAAATAAGAAGCACCAACTATTGCAACCTTATTTGCTCTTATTCAAGGATGTGTCTAAGCTGGGCCATTGCCCTACATGGAATTTAAACTGATAGGCGAGGAGAAGCAGCTGTTCTAGACAGATAAAGCGCCAATGCATTGTCGCTCCTTGAATCTATCCCCATTCCACACCAGCTCCTCCCTCAGCTGCACCTTAACTGAGGGTTACAGCCAACCCCTTAGAAATACAGGCAGGCACACCCAGGAGTCATGATGTTGGATTTAAGATCTTTATTTTATATTTTCAGGGAAGTGGCATATGGGTGTGAACTGCAAAACCCGCCGTGATCACTGCCACCATCCTTTAAATCATGGCTTTGACTATTTTTATGGCATGCCTTTTACCCTTTTGAATGAGTGTCAAGGCACAGACGACCCTGAACTGGCCAAGTCTTTGCAAGATACGTATTGGCTTTACACACAGATGATCACCCTTGCAGTATTTACTCTTGTGATTGGAAAACTTGCCAATTTTTTCCCAGTAAAATGGAAAATAATCATCTGTCTGGCCATCTGTGGTCTCCTTCACTTCCTCTCCTGGTTCTCCAGCTATGGTTTCACCAAGTACTGGAACTGTATCCTGATGAGAAACCATGATATCACTGAACAACCTATGAACCTAAACAGAACTGCTTCTAATATGCTGAAAGAGGCAGTTACATTCATTAAAAGGTAATCAACAAAAATTGTATCACATTTTAAGGGGTTTTAACAATAATATCATTATTGTGTCATATAACACTAGGTTAGGTAGCTGGCATGCTGAACTCTCTGTCCTAAAGCTGGCCATTAATTTGTTAATTTCTGGCATTTTCCTACCTGTCAGCATCCAACTGCTGTCTTTTGTCTTATACATCTGTCCTGGTTCTGGTCAGGAGAGGGTTAATTTTTGCAGCACCAGGAGGGGGCTGCAAAAGGTTACAGAGTTTATTCTGTACCACCTCACATCGTTGCCGGTATGGGGAGACGGTGTCTCTCCCGGTCAAGTAAGCATGGCAGAGGGAGTGGTCGGGTAACTCCAGTTCTGAGCATTTTGCATGTGAATCACTCGTTTGTCTCTCTTCTACACTTTTGTTACTAATATTGTTGCTGTTACTGTTCATTTTGTTATCTCATTGCTGTTTCCAGTAAACTGTTCTTATCTCAGCCTGTGATCTTTACCTTTTGTGCCTTCAATTCTCCTCTCCAGCCTGCTGCATGGTGTAGAGAAAGGGGGAAAAGCAGGCAAGCAGCAGCGTGGTTTGGAGAGTCTCAGTGGGAGCACTAAACTGGAAAGCACCATTCCTAAACCATGACAACATCGCTGGTCAGTTCCTTGGGAAAGGGAAGATGATTATTCTGGTGTTTATGTTTTGTTCAGCTGATACAAAGGGGTCCTGGCCAAGGACTGTGCCTTCTGTCAGTAGGAACAGAAAAATGGTCTTAGACTGGTAAATGGACTGTTATAGAAAGTGTCATATGAAGTTAATATTTTACAAGCAGAAGAGTGATAGTGAGTTTTGTTTAGTTTCGTGTTTGGGTTTTTTTTCTGACAAGTGTCCTTCATTTCTACCAGTAACCTCAATTGGAATTGAACAAACCACTAAGTCTTTAAATTATTCATGTGTTAAGTCTGGGAACATCCTTGAAAAAGACTATACTCTTTCTGTCAGGGTTTTGGGGTTGTGTGTTTGTTTTCTCAAGGAAATTTGAGGTAAAATATATTCCTTCTGTAAAACTTTGAGTATAGGTAATCTTAGGTTCCTAGGATATCCCACCTGGCATGATGTTTAAGGGATCAAGGTTTCACTGTGGGTACAGTGTCATATCTGCCTCTTCCATGAGGATGCTTCAAATGTTCAGTGACATACATCCATGTTTAAGTTTAGGCAAGCAAGTCCTATTCTCTTTGCCTCTGAGATTGTGTCAGTCTTTCGGCTACAACTTTTCCTAGTTGCTTATTTAATGTTCTAGCATATCTAATTTGGAACATGAAAAAGAAAGGGCTCATTACTGTTTTGATCTTGATACAGAACAAACATCTTTGAGAGTGGGTTAAACCCCTCTGTGTCCCAAAACCTCAAAAGCAAAAAGATGTCAAAATAAAAAAAAAATTATTTAGATCACAATAATAATATTTATTGAGATAGTAACTATAATACCACTGTTATATTTTGCTTTGAGTGACAGTTTGAAGAGAAATGACCCTTGTTTTCTTTTATTTCAGAAACAAGCATAGACCATTTCTTCTCTTCGTTTCCCTTTTACATGTTCACACCCCTCTCACTACCACAGAGAAGTTTCAAGGAAGAAGCAGGCATGGCCTATATGGAGATAATGTAGAGGAGATGGATTGGATGGTGGGTAAGTGTTGGTCTTGAAGAAAGTTCTTCATTTATTTGAATGTGGAAAAGAACTTAAAGGAGTGATCACCAGACTCCCTTTTTGCACATGTAAAAATCATGCCTCGGATACACAGTTGGTTTCAAAGATTGCCATACCATAACCACACTTCTTTTTTTTCTTTCTTAAGACAAAAGCTTAAACTTTCTTTGTAAGGATTTGTTCTTTATCTTTTTTAATTGACACACTCCTGTGCTGAAGTGTTAAATGCAGACATATAATCAAATATGTCCTTGATCATGCTGTTAATCAAAATTATGACATTTCTCCATCTCTGTCTGGTCTTAGAAGATGTAAGTGGTGCTGATGTTAAATATTACATTATGCTTTTTCCTCGTGCAGTTCACCTTTTGCTGCTGCTTCTATAGCTATGGAAGCTGTTCTTGGCAAATATACTTGATGCAGAAGGTGATAAGGACAACCAATCTAAGATAAATCACATTCTGTATAAACATTTGATGTTATCAGTACAAAACCATTCCTTATTAAATTAGGTTTGAATTACAGTCCACAAGGTTTTTATCACTGCTATCAGGAGATGATTTTGGTTGATAGTATGTAGCCTGGTCTCAGAGTCCCTGCTCAGTTCCTGGTGAGACACGGCAGTTTACTATGGCTACTAATCAAGGCGGTACTATTATTTAAGCTTTTCAAGATGTTTGAGGCTACCTACTCAGCATATTCCTTGACTCAGAGAATTTACAGAATAAAGTTGACTGAGTATTCTGAGTAGTTTGGATAAAAGGGTCAATCATTTAAATTATTTTTCAGTTGGTGGTAATTTTTATTTTCCTGTTTTTATAGACACTACAAACAAATTTTATAAGCATTCATCTGCTTTTTGTTGGGTTATTATTATTTCATAGAATTATAGAATATTCTGAGTTGGAAGGGACCCATCAGGATCACCGACTTCAACTCCTGGCCCTGCATAGGACACCCCAAGAATCACACTGCATGCCTGAGAGCATTGTCCAAATAGTTTTTGAACTCAGACAGGCTTGGTGCTGTGACCACTCCCTTGGGGAGTTCCAGCGCCCAACCACCCTCTGGTTGAAAAACATTTTTCTGATGTCTAATCTAAACCTCCCCTGACTCTGCTTCATGCTGTTTCCTTGAGTTCTGTCACTGGTCACAAGAGTGAACAGATTGGTACTTGCCCCTCCGCCTTCCCCTTGTAAGAAGGTTGAAGACTGCAATGAGGTCTCCCCTCAGTCTCCTCTTCTCCAGGCTGAACAGACCAAGTGACCTCAGCTGCTCTTCACACAGCTTCATTATCTTCACTGCCCTTCTTTGGACACTCTCTAATAGCTTAATATCTTTCTTATAATGTGGTGCCCAAAACTGCACACAATATTCAAGGTGAGGCCACACCAGTGCAGAGCAGAGCAGGACAATCCCCTCCCTTGACCAGCTGGCGATGCTTTGCCTGATGCCCCCTCGGACATGGTTGGCCCTCCTGGCTGCCAGGGCACTGGTGACTCTCATTCACCTTGCGACTGACCAGGACCCCCAGGTCTCTTTCTGCAGCACTTTGCTCCAGCTTCTCATTCCCTAGTCTATACACACAACCAGGGTTGCTCCATCCCAGGTGCAGAATCTGGCACTTTCCACTGTTAAACTTCATACTATTGGTGATTGCCCATCTCTCTTATTTATTGAGGTCTCTTTGCATTGAATGTGGTAGATAATAACAGAACTCATTCAGGTAAATGGAAAGACTCAGTCTTCACTGAATTTTGAGTCGAGACCTAGAAAATCTGAGTGTATCTCCTGATGTAATTATGATGCTATGCTTTGTTTATAGGAAGGCTTCTGAATGTTATTGACAAAGAAAGCTTGCAGAATACCACATTAATTTATTTTGCATCTGATCATGGAGGATCCTTAGAGGCTCACAGAAGAAATTCTCAGTTGGGTGGATGGAATGGGATCTATAAAGGTAAAATTTTTGTAGTGTGTACATGCATAAGACTTCCTCTTAAAAAGAAAATGATAGATTAAAATACATTCAGACATATTAAATTTAATAAACTATATGCTGATATTACAATCTTGGATTATAGATCTGAAATGAAGATCTATGGTACCTCTTGCATGTGCCCCCTCCAGACTGTTAAGCCTTGAAAAGCTACTGTGACAGCTTGCACAGATTGGCACTTACTGTATAATGAAGTTTGAAAACTGTACCCCTCACTTATTTCCCTATGGAAGAAGAGTTGTGTGCTTCTTGACCTTGCTCAGCACGACAGTGCACACTGTCTAGTAGCAAGTTACTTGATGGGCCACACAAGCAATGTTTGATACAGCTGGGATCCATCTAGGAACAGTCCTGAATGCAAAATGAGCCTTTATTTCTTGATATGAAGTTTCCATACCAGTAACAGTTGCAAAAAGGCCAACAGACACATTTGAATAGTTTAGAATCTAATCTAATGAATTCACTTCTACCAGCTGAACACAAGTATATTAGTAACAGGAGAGGCCAGAGAGGAAAGGTAAATGTCATTAGAGATTTCAGTATGAGAGGACAGTGATGAAATCATGCCTGCTTAGAGAGAAGGCAAAAGAAGATACAATATCAGTTTAGATATCAATAACAGAAAAGCATTCCCATTTATGTCCACACATGGTAGAACAGGGGACATCCCATTGAAACTAACTAGCAAGATTAAAAAATACAGTTTAATTAATAAATATCTGTAAAACTCACTGCTGTTATTTGAAACAGCATATTGAAAACAAGAAGACAAATAAGCCACACATCCAAATAATGAGAAGAGCTTCTGCTGATTGACAAAGCATGAGATACCACTATTTTACATAGCACAAAGATTATCGCAGAAGCACTTGGACTTGCCCTGTTTGTTTTCCATCATGACACCTTGTCAGCCTTTAAATCCAAGCTCTGGGAACCTTGCCTCTCAGTTGTAACCATTAGCACACCTCCTTTGTAGCAAGATACAGTATTACTTAGCAAAGCCTGGGGCTAATGTAAGCTACCATTCAGCTGCTGATTTATTAGCTGAGCTAATCAGCTGCCTTCAAGCTTTGTTCGCCCGTTTTCCTACAAAACTTTCGAGCCACAATTTGTCATTTCTGCCTTTGATCGGAGGAATAACAGAGAAAAGGTCATATAGGTACCTGAGCTCAATCCTTTTGCAATTTTTGTTTTCTAACTGGATCCTTGACTTGGAGTTCTGACTTTGAACCACACTGTTTCATTAATATTCCCATCCTTGACATCTGTAACTTATATCTGTAATTAGTTAATGGTTCTCACTTTGAAATACTATTCAATGAATTTTTTGACTTGTAAGAGAGACTGCACAGAGAAAAGAATTTAGAAGACCAGAGGAATGTAAGAGAAATCAAGTTAAGAAAAACTCTTTGTATTACCTCAAGACAATTTCAACAGAAATGCAGGTGGAAAGTCTTTGTCACTGCAGCATATTCAGAGCACTCCCCTATTTAATGCATGGGTTCTACACTCTTCCATTTGGGACCACCTCAGAGCCTCCCTGGGACTGTATTCTCCTGCAGGGCAATCAAATATTATCCTAATTCCCCTTGCTGCCCTCCAGAACTGCAACTAATTTTGTAATGTTCCTGCTGTCTTTGATTGTGAGCTGACAATCAAGCTTGCCCTGTCTAATTTCCCTTCCTCAGGCACCAAGTGTGGCTGCAACCCCTATTCCATCTACAAGTCAGATTTTGCTCTTAATTATTTAATTAATTCATTAATTCATTCATTTTATTAACTGATTTTTATTAACAGATTTTTTCTTGGGCATATTTTTAGGGAATGTGGAGAGTATTCTCAGATACTTAAATTGAAATGACCTTCAACTTAAGCTCTGGATCAGAATGACTTCTCAGGCATCAGAGGGTGGAATTGTTCCTCTTCTGCCAAAAATGCTGCTTAGTAGTGGGTTATTATATGTGCCACCCAAGAAAGCAGTGTAAAATAAAGATGTTAATAAGACTTATTTTTGAAGAACAGAATTTCCAATGTAGTCACTACTGTTCTAGAGGATTTAGTGTGGTCTCATTAAAGTTATGTGAATATTCTAAAAATTTTAAACCCTTTTATTATACATGCACAATGAACATCTAGTATCTCTTATTCTTTTATCTTTTTGTTAAACTTTCCTCCTCTTCTTTAACAGGTGGAAAAGGAATGGGAGGATGGGAAGGAGGAATCCGTGTTCCAGGAATATTTAAGTGGTCGGGAGTGTTGCCTGCAGGGACAGTTATTGATGAACCTACAAGCCTTATGGACATTTTTCCTACAGTAGTTCATTTAGCTGGAGGGGCAGTGCCTCAGGACAGGTACAGAGGTGGCTTCATGGACCATATTTGCTTCTCTTTCTTGATTTAGATAGAAACTGACTAAGTCATGCATCCTGACAGCCACAGGTTAAATTCTGATTGTTTCGAAACCAGGCAATTCTCTAACTTACTTTCTGCATAGCCTTCCCCGTCTTGTCTGCTTGTATGGAAAAGGCAAAGGAAAAACCAGTATCTTTTATCAAAGGTCATTTAACTATCTCAGTCCTCTAATCACCAAAAGGCAATTTGGTTGATTTGGGACACTAGGATGACTGTAAAAAAAAAAAACCAACAAAAAACCAAAACAAAACCCACAACCAAAGCCACCCTTTTTAATTTTACTTTTTTTAAATCAAAAATCCACAGATTTTCACGAAGGTGGTTGGTCCTGTTAGAGTACTAGGACAGGAAGCCTAGGAAGCCTGATTATTCACAAGTAGGGAAGGTGGAGCAAATGACACATGACCGGCATTTTTCTGCCGGTACCAAAGAAGTAGCTTCCTCAATAGTAAACAGCTTCTAGCATCTATGTTAGCCTCCTCTAAAGAACACAAGAAAGCGTAGGTGGCTAAGTCATTTCTGCAAAAAGCAAAAAAAGTACTGGTGGTGTGTAAATTAACCAACTCTTAGTCAATTCAGTAGGTGGCTTGTTTTTTTTTTCTACAAAGCCTGAAGCTCACAGAGCTGTCAATTACTTCACTGACTTCCATTTCAGGTAGCAAAATTAACCTGTGCTTATCACCTACTTCCAGGAAAATTACAGCAGTGGTGACTTATCTCCCCAGGCAGGATGTGTAAACTAGCTGTATTTGCAAAAACTGCTAGTAAGTGCTAATTCCTGATCTCCACCCATTCACATAATTAAAAATCTCGGGCTCATTAGCTAAAAAGTACCTTAGTTGAGAGATGACGCTTGAAATTCTAATGCTGCATACATAGAGTGAGTGGTGCTCGTGCTCCAGCTGCAGACTGAAATCCTTAAGCAGTCTGGTGACTCCTGTTCTCTCCCTCAGGGTAATCGATGGGCGCACTTTGCTGCCTCTGCTGCGTGGGACAGTTCGACACTCCAGGCACGAGTTCATGTTTCACTACTGCGGTGTGTTTCTGCACGCAGTGCGGTGGCACCAGAAGGACAGTGAGTATCAACATCCCCCTCCAGCAAATCACAGACCATGTAATGATCTCTAGCTCCCAAGAGAGTGTCATGTAAAAATATGCATACATATATCTGGAGTAAGTTTATTGTCTCAAACTCTCAGTTCTTCTGCAAAGTGCAGAATGGCCTCATTGTTAGCTGTCCTGCCTTGCCTGAGATGAAGGGGTTTGCTTCCTGGGAAGCATAGCTTCAAGAATCCCCATTTTGTTGCAGTGTTTGTATCACTTTTGATGCATAAGCATGCGGGATCAACTTTAGTGTAGGATTGAAGCAAAAGGAACTGTGCATTGAAGGTCTTTATCCTAAGCAGTATTTGGTTTCTTTTTATTAGTCCTATCTTATTTGTTTCATGTTTTTCAGCTGTGGCATTAGACAAGCTGACTGCAGCTGTAATGCTTTACTGAACTTTCAACAAGAACCCAGCGCTGGAACTAGACGATCTTTAATGTCCCTTCCAACCCAAACGTTTCTGTGGTTCTATGATTCGTTCAGCCAAGCCCATAACCTAGCACTTTAGGCAATCAGTTTTGGTCAGGGGCTATCTCCCCGCCCGGCCCCGCGGGCTCCGGGGAGCAGCGGGAGGTGCCGGGCACGGGCCGGGCCGGGCCGGGGAGACGAAGCGCCGCCAGGGGGCAGCGCGGCACCGCCACAGCCGCGGCCTGCCGGGCGGCGGAGAGCGCTGCAGCGAGGAGGTTTTAAACAGCAAAACAGAGCAAAATAAAAATAAAACCTAACCTCCCGGCCCTTCAGCGCAGCCAGCTGCTTCGTGTTTCGTTTTCGCATCTCGAGGTGCCCCGTATGAAAGGCCACCTACAGCTGTGGGAGAGCAGAGGGAGCGCCGCCAGCTCCCCAGTGCAGTGGCTTCGTTCCCAAAGCGCTGCAGCTGCTCATGACCTCCTGGAGCGCGCACCCTGTGATCCTGGCCGGAGGTTTGAGCAGACGGGGGCATGGCCCGTGCCTGGTAGAAACCTCAGGGCTGCCGATTTGAACCTCCCTCCCCATGCACCCAGGACACAGCAGACGAGTGTGTTAAGAGACTGACTATGAGAGCACAGCTCTTAGAGCTGCCAGTGGAGATGCGAGAGATCAGTTCACCTGACAGACTGGTGGCAAGTTGGCCCCACACCAAAACTACCAGTAGGTCCAGGCTTCATCACATCAGTCTCTTCTCCCAAGTTATGTTAGCGGACAAAGGGAAATGGCCTCAGGTTGCTCCAGGGGAGGTTTATACTGGATATTAGAAAAAATGTCTTCATGAAAAGGTTTGTTAAGCATTGGAGCAGGCCACCCAGGGAAGTGTTTTTGTCACCATCCCTGGAGGTATTTAAAAGACGTGTAGGTGTGACACTTGTGGACATGGGTTAGTGTTGGACTTGGCAGTGCTGGACATGATCATCTTAAGGGTCTTTTCTAACCTAAACAATCCTATGATTCTACAATCTAACCCCAAGCACAGTCACCAGTTCACATTACCTAGAGCAGAACAGCAGTCAGAAACTCAAATCTCCTATGTATCTAAATCAGTCACCATTCTTGGAGATCTCTGTTTCCTTTTAACACACATTTTTTTTTCTGGAAACAAAGTTCCTGGGCAGAGAAAGCTGTGTCTGACCGCCGGACTCCTGGAGAAAACTCCTGCTAGATGAGTCATGCCCCATTTCCCTACTGAAAGGCTAAATACATACTCCACTCAAGCTATGCATTTGAAGAGCTGCTTTTCAAGTTGAAGGACTGCTATTCTCACCCAGCTTTCATCACTAGTTCTTCTAAGCTATATAAGTTCTACATAAGTAGCTACGCATACTTATGCAGATGCAAGATGTATTTCGTGGCAGTTCATGTTCCTATGAAGCCACATGCACAGCTAGATTTCCTATGCATGCCTTTCTACAGTTTTTCCCATTGAACCTCAACTGCTTATGGCAAGGGTCCTGAAAACAATGCAATGTTCTGCATATGAAAGACTAGCTAATCAAATATATGGCTCAGCTTTCAACTAAAGTATAAATTTTGATTCTTTGTTCCAACTGCCATTTCTTCTGACTGGGCTGACAGACTAGAGAGTTTTAGCTCATCTGTAAGTAAATCACACTAATATTATGTATTTAGTGTCCATTTACATCTGTCTGTTGGCCAGCCTGGATATGAAGCCATTGTATTTTGATGTCACCCAGGCAGGATCCATCCTTTAAGCCCTTCACTGAAGCCAGAAGAATCCTTTGTTTATAAGTAAAAGAGTCCTTTCCTTTACCCTAGCACAATAAGTCTTATTAGTGACAGTACATTTCTTTCTGCTCATTAAACTGATTGATTGTTACCAGATGGGGTTGAGAGATGTTTGTACTGAAGCAGCAGGTTTCCTTTCCCTTGGACATATTAAATTAACATGTTGCCCTAAAATTCACATGCACCTTCTGATTCTATCAGAGCTACGTCAATAGAAAATTGCATACCCCGTTTGCCTCCTGGAGATGAGTGCAACTCCCACTGCTTTTATCAGCACTGATTTCTACCACCTTTTTTTTTTCTTTTATCCTCCTGTAACCCAATTGTCTGCTCAGCTCACCAACACAGGTTAATTACAATTGGCCTCTCTGTATCCTTCAAAGTGAACTAACAAGGACCTGGCTGTCTCTCACTCTGCATTTCCAGTAATTATTTGCAGCCATGAAAAGTGAATGCTAAAATTTAGCAGCATCAGACACTACACTCAGTACTCCAAATTTTCATACAGTGTATAAGGAATTCAGCCCAATTATTTATGGAAAAGAATGACTAGTTAGTTTTTTTCTGAACACTGATCACATAAATTCCTATGTAGAGCTAGATAAGCCTCTCCATCTTGTATTTACCTAATAAATGGTTATTTTGCCAATATCTCAACAGCACTCCAACTAAGCCGGATACTCAGAAAAAATGCCTGTCCCAAAAAGTGCTTATTTAACTCCTTGTAGCAAGTATCTGTGCTACCTGACTGACAAACATAAGACCCAAATCCCATGCTCTGGGAACCCTGATATCCAAGAGGATGCTTGCATATTTGTCACGAGACAAATGTTCTTTTAGTTACAAGACAGGGATAAGCTGAAGGACATGGAGCTCAGCCAGCCAGCAGCAAAGCACACACTGAAACAGACCTAAGGAGTATCTGTCTGTCCTTAGTAAGCCGTCAGAAAGTGAGCCCAATCAACCTTCATCATCTTTTCTCTCACAATTTCAGAAACGGAGATATCTAACATTTAGAAATGTTACGGAATTATTATGCCAAAACATTTCAGAACCATTGAGATGTCATCCCTCCACAGAAGTGCAGAAGCATAGCTTAAGCAGGATGTGGAAACCACAGGGTGAAAAATAAATAGATACACAGCCAACTAGCCACTAGATCTTTTAAGCTAAAATATTACCTGACCCTTAATATCTGTTATTTGTTTCCCCTCACCTTTTCAGAAGTTTTAAAATTTTATTTATTAACAAAATAGTGTTCCAGTAGTAGTGACAAGACAGAGACCAAAGAATAAAGCTGCAGGCTTTAAAGAACACCTTTAAGAGAAGAAAGGAAGGAAATTTCAGCTAATTCCATTGAAGTAAAAAGAAAATTCCATGTAGGGACAATGCAGTTATCAGCTATTTGTGCTCACTGGATCAGAGAAGTGGCTCCAAGTGTTAAATGTCCCCTTTCTTCTTGTCTCCTTTTTTCAGACATAGTACCTAATTGCTGTCTTCTTGCTGGACACAGAATTGCCTCTGAATTCAGTGTACTGTATTCTAAATGTGGGGTGAGGAATAGGGGAAAAAGGAGGAGGAAGTAAAGTGTGCTGATGAGCTGCATTCAGATTTAGTCCTAGCCATTTGCCATTTTTTCATTGCAAGTTACAGACCTGTGCTTGTCCTGTGGCCAGTACAAGAGCCTGATGATGTGCAAGCCCTAAAGCTGTGAACGACCTGCCTTCATCATGTTAACTTAAAAACTAGACTCCAGATTTTACTGTTTTCTTGGCCTGCAATTACCACCCTATTAAAAAGTGTGCTGGAACATGAGCATGGAAATAAACTGTGATGAATTTCTGCCCAGGTGTACTTCTTCACTCAGATATACAGAGGCAGCAGAAGAACCACCTACAAGTACTTGCAGCCAGAAATTGGAGACTGCATTCTCCATTTTCCCTCCCCAAGAGGCTTGTAGATTTTTAAAGGGACACAAGAAAGTGTCAGACTCCCTCTATTTAAAATTCACATTCACATACTGTATAGGGACATTCACATACTGTATAGGGTCCAGCATATACCCAGAGCCAACGTGTTCCCATAAGCCACAAAGAACATCTTAATCCTGACAGCTTCCACAAGACCCCTGCCCCAGGTGTGACATAAGCTTGCCCTAGGAATGACATAGCAGATCACTTAAACGTGAACCAAACTTTCACGACACATCCCCCACCCTTCCCAATTCCTAATGCCATTAAGATGTTCAAATGTGCTTCTTCTGTGACAGGTGGCACCGTGTGGAAAGCTCATTATGCTACTCCAGTATTCCAACCAGAAGCCTCTGGAGCCTGTTTCAGAAGAGGAATTTGCCCATGTTTTGGTGATGGTGTAACCCATCATGACCCTCCACTGTTGTTCAATCTCTCACAAGATCCGTCTGAGGCAAATCCTCTGTCAGCTGACACTGAGCCCTTGTTTGACACTGTGATGAGGAGAATAAGAAAAGCTGTGGAAGAGCATCGCAAGACGCTGACTCCAGTCCCACAACAGCTGTCCCCTTACAATAATATATGGAAGCCATGGCTGCAGCCATGCTGTGGGACATTCCCATTCTGTTGGTGTCATGAAGAAAATAACAAAGCAGATAGCATAGTTTAATACCAAAATCAAAGTTAGCTTCTTTAAAGAAGTTGACAGTTTTCACATTTACATGACATTTACATTCATAGAGAAATTAGAGATATGGGTTAAATTACACTGGAATAACTTAAGGAGATATTATTGGGTTTTTTTCTTCAACCTTTTTCCATACCCACAGAAATTTAGTAAACCTGTAGTTTAAAAATTAGGGGTCACCTGTATAATCTACCCCTCAAGTGCATAATTCTGGATTAAATACCCCCAAAAAAATTCTTTTCTTAGTGATTTTCAATTCAAGCAAACGATAACTGATAAGAAAGTAAACTTTTCATTGCAGATGTTTGTACAGGAAATATACTTATTAAGACAACAGTACTCAGCCCAAAAGGGTATCCCTATTCAGGGCTTATCTTTCAATGAAAAAAAACCTGTTGCACAAAAATGAAATTATGATGACAATGAAAAAAATAAATAAATAATGAAAAAAACCCCACATTTTATTTGGAAACATACCAAAATTCGTTTGCCTCTCCGAAATAAACACCTAATAATTTACAGCAATTTTTTGCCTCATCTGTACATTCATTTTTCTATCATGTAAGAATTCCCACGGAAAACCGAACTGACAAGTGTGTTATAAAAATTAGATAGCTGAAGTTAACATCTCAAGATCAGCAGCAAAGTACCTAGCTATGCTGAAATGTTAAACCACAATTCTTACCGAAATGCATTTTCCATGTAGTTAAGTCATCTCACTTGCAAGAGCATTGAAAAGCATCACCCTTGAGAAGATAGGTCCCAAATTTCACAATCTGAGACCAATTTATAAGATGCATGTCCCACTTGAGTGACAGTGACTCTGATTTCATATGAGGGCCATGCAAAATGTGCTTTGTTTTGTGAGAAAGCACTTTGTTTTCAGTAGGAGGTGTTAAAAAAAAATTCACACACTAATCACTTCTGTGTACAGGTCATTTTCTCCAAGCCAAGCAAGTGTCAGCACTCTGTACAGTCATTAGGGAAACGGAGGGGATTAAAATATGTAATCCTCTCTTGCTGCCCTCAGGTTAAATAAATTCATCTCTCAATATGTAATCCTAACCATGCTCTTGCCAGGTTTTGTGTCAAATCCTATTTTTAAATGGAGGTTTCTGTATTTTTGCCTTCAGAAAAAGTAGATTGCAGGCAAGAAACTCAGATTCAAACTTTAAGCCTTTCTGAACACTGTATGTTCACTCGTACCACACAGCTAAAGGTCACCCAGATTTTAAAAGTAACAAAGGATGGTAAGAGCTGCAGAGCAGGTACTTCAGGTGACCTATTTCCTTAGAGCTAGCAGACTTGCAGAGCCACACCAGTGCAGCTCTATTCAGTACCAAGGTTGCCTGTGTGTCATTTTTTGCCTTTTAGAAACAACAAGAGATAGGAAGGCCTGCAGCAGGTCCCTCTCTCAGCTCTTGAGCTGCCACAGCAGATCCCAGCGCTTTCGCCAGCCTCAGGAGAGAAGCAAATGTATGCCTGGACTGTGCACCTTTTGCAGTGTTTTCAGAGAACCTCCTGACTTACACCTCCAATGTGGCAGTGTGGTAAGTCACTGCTGTTTAGCTCTAAACATGGTTGTGTATGACCATGACATAACATCAAGTGCAAGTCTCCCAAAAGCTGACTGGGCATTTCTTCAGGTTATTTCCCATTTTGTCTTTCCTCTAAAAGGTCACCAAGAAAGTTATGTGGAAAACACTCCACATAAATCAAAGGGCACTTATGACAATGAACTGATTGGATGCATCAATGTTACACTTGACAGGGGTATCTAAAAATACATTTGTTCTCACTGCTTGATAGCATTTAAATCCACATCAACATTGCTAAGAACTCGTCAGAAGATTTGACATTTTTCTGTGGCTGACTTGGACCAAAACCAGAGCAGCTGCATTTCACTGGATTCATGCAGGGAGAAAAGAGCATAAAAGACCATGCATTTTAAAGCCAGTTTGGCCGATTCAGAGATGGAGGACAAATCTTACTGTTCAGTGGGAACAAAACCAAATGCTGTTCTCTAGAGTCAAGCCAATCAGTTTAGTAGCATCTACACTGTCAGTTAAACACAAGGATAAGCTTTTTCTCAGTTCACACGTCACTGCCTTCCCCACTCCATTAGGTTAGATATCAGGAAAAAGTTTTTCACCCAGAGGCTGCTTGAACACCAGAATAGGGTCCCCAGGGAAGTGGTCACAACAACAAGCCTGAGAGTTTAAAAACTGCTGGACAATGCTATCAAGCACATGGTGCGATTTTTGGGGAGTCCTGCATAGGGCCAGGAGTTGGACTTGATGATCCCGATGGGTCCCGTCCATCTCAGCATATTCTGTGATTCTATGATTCATACACAAGAACATGCCCAGTCCCACACTAGGTTATGATGAGAGCTTTTACCAGGGCATGGGAAGGTGTTCAAGCACTCACTCAGCTTGTAAGCATAGGTCGAAACTAGAAAGCCAGACTAGGAAGGCCAATACATCAGCAAAACCCTGAACTCCATTTCCAAGCACAGCGTGAAAAAAAATCACCCCATATAAATGTAAACATTAAACATTTGTGTAACACCTCATTCTTCTGAAACTTAAATTTGCTAAACTGCCATATAGAGTCAGATGCTAAGGAGTCACATAGATATCCATGGTGCCTTCCTGACATCCAAACATAGATAATTTTATCTTGGCTGGCATCTGTGGAAAGCCAGAGGGGCTTTCAGACAGGAGGAGGAAGAATTAGGGCTGGCAGCATAGCATAACTGGCTTTTGTTAACTCACTGTTAAGAAACCTCAACCAGGCAAAGAGAAATGTGCTTTTCCCATACACAGAGGGAGAGGCAGACAGTGCACACAGAGGTGATCTGCAGGCGACAAGGAGAACAACGTAATGGAAAATTGGTGAACCGGATGCACATCACTTCAAAAAACATGAGGGACAGGAGAGAAGAGTTTTTCAGTCCTAAGCTTCTTTTACTGTCTAAATCTAAATGTATCTTAAAAGATAAAAATTTTGAGGAGTGGTAAGCAGAGAATGGAGGTTAATTATTTTACCCATTTCATGCAGATCCTAGCCAGGAGTGGTTGCAGATCTCTTTGTCTGTATATACTCTAACCATATCACATAAGATCTGCACACGCTGTTATTCTGATCTTCTGGCAAATGTACATTCCCAGTTAAAGCAGGTGAACCCAACATCACCCAAGAGTTATCCTCAAGCACACTTTTGCATAAAATGCATTAATGTGTAAAAAAGCTGTTACAAGGACTGCTTGAATAACACCAGAAGGAAGAAACTCTTGAGTCAGTTCCCTAAGTTTGCTTGAAAAGTCATCTATAACGATCTTTTGCAAAATATATTAATATAAGAATAAAAGCTAAATTATATGCTTTCTCCCTTCTTTTCTCCCTTTGTAGAAAGGAGCAAGGACTACATAAAAATGGCCTGTTGGGAAAACCTGAGACAACTAACCAATCTCCAAGCCAGTGATAACCATACCAGAATGTGCCTACACATGGTTCAATACACACACCATAGAGAGGGGAGTATTACTCTGTGACAAATTAAGTTTGTTTTACTGAAAGAGCTGTGGTTGTACTGTGCAAATGTTTGACATTCACGTTGTACGAAACTGACTTCCACTTAAATTGTTTGATCATTATTAAATGACATTTGGAATTGTTGCATTAGACTGACTCAACAGAGTAATTGGCAAATCTCACAGGATTGAGACAATAAGCTTCTAAGAAACTTCACTTCACCGTGTTTAAATATTAGACACATTGCTTTGCTCCCTGCTGGGACTCAAGGGAATGCCAGCATATGGATCACAAGATCCCATCGTTTAAGGATGCAAAATAATTGTTTAACAAATAAACTCAGAAAAGTAATTTGAGCTCAAAGTTCATCCAGCTTGAAATTCTCAAGGACTCTCAGTATATTTGAGAAGCATTTACATAAAGGACCAAAAAGAAGGAGTAAATATAAAAAAACCTTTTGCTTTTTGACAGATTGTAGGTTAAAATACACACACGCAGTCATATATATAGTATTGAACTCAATAAAATACTGAAGATTTTCTTAGAATGTTGTGATTGTAATGTTACATCTAATCAGCTACATTAAAAAAAAATCAAATTTATTCAAAACCTAGCTTCTTTTTTGATTACCATACTACTGCATTATTAAGATTTTTTGAAAGTAAGAAAAAAAATTTTAAAAAAATCTCGACTCCCCATGTTGAAATAAAAGGGATTATTACAGCATCCAAACAACCCCAACTTCTACTCTGCCGTTTGTCTAAAAACTGTAAGTAAAAGGTTTGGAAACAGAAAGATTTTATGGAGGTTTAAAAATTAAAAAAAAAAATAGTCTCTAAACAAAAGATAAAACATGTGCCCACCCATCACATGCAGTCAGTTCTGTTCCAAGTATTTAATACTATGAGAAGGCTTTGAATATCTTATTGCTCTAAAATAAAACAAATAAAGTGTTTCATGTATTTATCATTGTTCAGAACACTGTACAGTGCCATAAAATGGAACAAACACTTTTCCAAGGCAGCTAACATCATGCCATCCTGAAAATCCTAAAATAATCACCGGTCAGAGGCTGGCTGTCTTGAATTTTTTTTTTTTTATCCATCCAGTTTGTTGAATTCGAAAGGGCTCTGACAACAGTCAAAGTAAAATTCAGGAAAAAAAATCTTGCAACTATTTTTCCCTTTATTCATAGTATATCATTTCCAGTTTTCTAACAATTATTATTTATGATGTTTAAGTCAAATATATATCACCGTACTTTTTTAACTACCTTTGCTATAATTATAATATGATGTTATTACAAGTTGAAAGTTTATACCAGGATGCAAAGTAAAGCTTGAGTGTCATCCCTTTAACCATTAGCACCACAGAAATTGTTATTTATGAGCCAGCCAACTTAGGATGAACAAAATTTCAGCTGAGATATTTTGCAACCAATATACTGATGATGTGGACTACTTAAATGACCACTAACTGACATGTATTTTTGCAGGCTATTTAAGAACGTACTACTATGCATTTAATCTCATTTAAAAGGTTGATTTAAAAAAAAAAGAAAATCAAACTACAGAAATATAATCTCAATATCATGACAAGAAAATTGGTGGGGAATTGGAATGTGAGATGTGAATTAATGAGCTGTGACTTAAGAAAACAGGCCCATCTCATGTTATTTTCAAAGTCATAGGAATCAAACCAGTTTAGATTAGGAAAGCAACAGAATCCATTAAGGAATAAGTAGGCATGCTGCAGACTTGCTGCTGTTGAACAACTATATGTTTACAGGAGCACACAAACATATATCGCCATCTGCTACTAATCCAGCCTCCTGTTCATGGACAGAAAAATCAAGGTGAAAAAAACCAAAATAAAACAACTAAGCATTTTTTCGAATACCAGCTTCAGAAAAACAATGGTGAGTTGAATGAACTAGAGAGACAAAGAAAACTTCTTATTTACAAAGAATGACCCAGTTGGAAGAGTCCTCACAAGACACCAGGCATTAAGAAAAGTGATATTTCATGAATATCTCCTTTACTGTAGGCTACAAAAGTGTATTAGCCCACATGTCTAACCCACACTATCTCCTGTTTATACATGAAGAGCACCCAATAAAATTGTTGTATGGCAAATAAAATTACCCTCTAAATCAGGCTATGAATAACTCCAAGCACATGACAGAAGTAGTATCATCATGTTTTGTTTTAAACACAAGCTGTCCTCTTTAAATACAGTCTGCCACACAGCAATAGCCTACACTTCTTAACTTTCTTCATCCTAAAAATACCTGGGGCTATACCACAGTTTAATGTGGAAAAATTCCAGGTAAAGCTTTTTAAGTTTTTTCTCCCCAAGTCGTGTTTCGATGTAGGAAACCTCAGCCCTGTGGTTCACGGCAGCATGCAGCCCATAACACCCCTCAGACCTGCCTGTGATCCCAGGATTTCAGAATGATGTCCATAAAAGCACAGAATGTTGCCTGAAGCATAGCACTTGCAAATTCTGGAGTCACATACAAGATTTTCCCTTCTCACACATTGGTGACAACAGTTGTGTGCTAGAAGCCACTACAACACTACATTATGTGTAATTAGTTCAATTTTTTTTTTATGTGAAGACAGGATGTAAAAACTTGGGCAGGGCCTTTAACAGCTACACTTTTCCATGAAATACAATAAACAAAATACTGTTGTGCTAATTCAAGAGATCCTAAACATTATAATTATGTATGTCTGTAGGAATAATTATAAGTCTAACCTTTTAATTCTGCTCAGCGGGTAATGCTAAATGTCTCAAAAGCAATTAAATAAAATTTAAAAAAAATTAGTCAGTCACAAATAATAATCCCTGGCATAGTGCAAACAACCTGTAACTCTGCATCATCTGATAAGTACATGACTTCATATGTCTTTTCCATTTCTTTTATTTCCATTACATTAATGTACATTCTTTGCAAAACATTGTATAAGCCACACGGTACCATTTTACATACTAACCGTTTGACGTGTCCAATCACAGCTCCTTTTACTACACTCATACACCTATATAAAAAACCTTTCAGTTACTGATTTCACATCAATAATTTTTCTCTCATAATCTAATTAATGTGCCCGGTAAGATCTAGTTGTTACTGTAAAATGTACACCTCCCCGAAGCATGAGTTCACATTGATGACTAGTTTTATAGTCTTCAAAACCTGTTTGAATTATGTTAGCAACAATGCTTTTAAAACAAGAGAACTTTCTCAGAAGTGCACAAGGATCACAAAGAAACAGGGCTAATCAGCAGATCAAATGCCACGTGAGTAAGAGGACACTGCAGCTGCTGCATCTCCACACAGCGCTGCACTGGGCCACAGCACCAAGAGGTAGAATGCACCTACCTGCGCTAACGTGTGAAGGTCACCTACCCAGAAAGACGCAGGCTATCAAGGGTCCCCAGGTTAGTCAAAGGGAGATGATCCTTCCCCATTTCTCTGTTGACCCTAAAACATCTAACTTAACCTAGAAGCTTATACGCAGAAGACACACCAATGAGTTTCACTCTTTAAGAGTGCTTAGAATAAATGAGAACTAGATAAAAATCAGAAAAATCCTACAAAAGTAAAAGCAAGTCCACTATTGTGATTATTAGAAAGTAATTCTAAGATGCTCAAAGATATGTTTTTCTTCTTTTAAAGGACTTTTAATTTCTTTCATTAATTTCCCAATTTGTGCAAGTATTCTCTGCCCCACCCTCACATCCTTTTTGATGGAGGAAAAAGAAATAAAAATTTCTTCTTCCCTCCTATCCTGCTTTTTTTTCTCCACTAACACCTATGGTGATCCCTTTTATGCATAATGTAACAGCATTTTGAAACAGAATTCCCAAGTTATTTCATTATGTATATCTCTACCAAAATTGGTGACATATTAAGACCAAAATGTTTCAAGTCCTGCATCATCACTGCAGAATTTTTATTCTAATACTGAGTGAGGTTACAGATAACTGTGTCAAACCTGTTATCATATTAGCATGACTGTCAAGATCCTTTCTTTCAAAGTTTTTTACTTTGAAAGAAAGTACTTTTTCTTGTTTGTTAAGGCAAACTCACTGAGATAAGTCAAATTTAAATACCCAAATTCACAAAACAATCCCCCATAAGTATTCTTAATAAAATGGTGTCTCATCAGTAGATTTTTTCTGGAACAACCCTCACAGATTTTTTGGTTCCCACACACAGCTATTTTTTAAAATATCTTCAAAGGGCCTGTTTACTAAAACAAGTGCCAATTGTGTTTTCAGTTGCACTCAAATTGCCTGTAATATGGGGCTATCATCCTGAGTGAGAAGGAAGCCTTTATCAGCTGCAGTTTGAAGTATTGTAAACGAATTTATATAAAGCACCGGAAGGTTTACACCATACCATCGTGTTTCTTCCTCTGACTACACAACTCAGAATATGCAAGTAAAGCTAACAATCTTTTAAAAAGCAACAGTATCCTATAGCAACAATATAAAAGGTTAACATACATTACCAGTCTGTCTTAAGAGTTTTAAACCACTCTTCCTTACACTAGTTATAAAGCTGAGCATCTTCCTATAAACAGACAAACACAGAACATCCAGTAGTGATCTCAGATGAAGTCTAAAGTTCCTCTAATCCTAATCATATTTAAATTAAAAAGTTTTGTTGCAGACTCCAATGAGGACAGGATTTCATCTCTTCACTGTTTTCTCATATTGAAGTCTACATCATGGTTGCCCTTGAAAGCATTAATTTGGTTTCTGGAACAAGTTTTTTATTTAAATAGCTTTATAGTGTCTTTTATAAGTACTTCAGGAATAATCTCAGTCTGGGAAATAAACTCAACTTCCAAAATAATTTCAATTTTCAGCATGTTTCCCACTCATGACTGTTTCTGCAGAATGCTATGGGGAGGAACAGGGAAGGGTGATAAATACATGAGAGATCATACTCAGAGCGTACCATTCATTTTTCTTTAGAAGGCACTGTTGGAGAACAATGAAGATGAGACATAAGTAACAATAAAGATGAGGCACACTTAAAAGTTAAAAAACAAAAAAGAGTCTGTATCTGTTAATCTCCTCCAAGAATCTATGAGGATCCATAATAACCTCTGGCATCAGGTAAGCTGTTAATATAGCCAAGTATTCAAGAATTGCATTTATAGAAGAAACATATATCATGATGGCCTTTACAGTACACTATCTTAATGTAAAAATGCATCCAATTTCTTTTTGATATGTTCAAAAGCATCTTTCCCCATATAGTCCATGCGCCCTTCCTCCCATTTTCTCCGCTCATCTTCTGGAGTTGGTTTTGCTGGTTTAAGGTGAATAGACAGCTCTGAAACAGAATCTGCAATCTCGTTCTGTGGGAAGAAGCAGAACAGTGGGAGAACGGTCATTTGGTTGTTCTCATTTCAGTGTTTTGATGTTAAGCCTTAATTGTCAAACTTCTGCATTGTACACTCCCAGTTCAAACAGTAAAACAAACTATTCAAACATCCACTCCTCCATTCCTGTTTTGATAATGTGAGATCATTTTCCCACGCTTTTACTACTTTCCATAGCATCTTTGAACATACCAAACACTTATTTTACTGATCTTTACTCAAACCTTGGTACACTCAGCAACAACACAATAAAAATTTTACAAATATGGTCTGTTTAGAGTAGAATAACTCCTACAATAAAAAGTGTAACCATTTATCTGTGCGAATCTTGTTTTCAGTAGGCTTTCAGGTGAACATACATTTCTAGAATTTTTGGTCATTTGTTTTATCTGAACACCAGTGAGATCAGTATTATTTAGCAGATGTGAGACACATGGCTCGCACAAACTAATTCAAAAGATTGACACTATTTTTTATACCAGTAGCTAGTTCATTTTGAATGAGAGTCCAAAACTTGACCTTGAACCGGAATTCACAATTATCATAGGTGCACAAATGCAAGACATTATTAGCAATAATTTCAACCACATAAAAGATAAATTGTGTTCATGCTTGACCAATGCCAGTAAAAAGGGAACATCCCAACAATTATAATCTGTAATAAAGCTGAAATATAACAAGGACTAATCAAGGCAGCCACTGAAAACCTGCTTTCAGTACTACTCGAAGAGGCTTAAAGGCAAACAACTCATTTCATGTTATAAACAAAATTGAAATCAATTAGAATGACCTTCTACTGAAGCCCTCATAAATTCAATATACAGGTGTTTCAGAACAGAACTTAATGGGCAGGAATCAGTGGCTTAAACTGCCTAAATGCCCTGGAATATCCACTATATCTGCCAGTTTCGGGCAGACGAGGCACAGGACTTGTGCAAGACAAGGTAAGGTATTTCAAACAGCCAACATGACACTATATGCTTAGGTACTGCATCCTTCCATATGTATCCCCACCTGCAACCAACATCACTCTAAACATGAGTATATATTCTGAAGAGCGTGCTTGCTCCCTATATATGCAAACATACAGTATGCATTTGTATTTAATTTTTGAGTAGCAGTAATGCAGGAAGATTCCCTTCTTTGTCATTAGCAAGTCTTATCAACAGCTCTGGATGCAATTAACAAGAAGACTGGAATCATCATGTTTTTAGAAATGAAGAATTTTAGCCAGGACCCAAACACCTCTGGCTGCAGGGGAGCTACAGGTGTTTTTCTCAGTCTTAAAGTATTTCACCACAGTGCTTCACAATCACACAAAAGGCCTCATTAGGAAAATGGCTGTGTTGTGTACCTTACAAGGCCTTGACACCCTGTCAAGGCCATCAACACCAAGTCTGTTCCTATTCTCACACCACCCACATGTGCAAGTATCCATAAATGCAGTGCAAGATCACAAAGGAAAGCCTGGTCAGTTAGGCTACTGCAGATTCCCTTTCCACTTGCTTGGAAATATCACTTCAGCAGATTAAAAAAAAAACAAACAACAAACAAAAAACCCCACAATCAAAGAAAACAGAACAAAGAAACAAAAACCCCAAACAGTTTTGCTTGTATTAGTATTGGAGAACTAAAATTAACACCATGCATTGATTACTTGGGGCTTAGCACACAAAATACCCATTTAAAAACTCCGAGTTTTGAAAAGAACACTAGAAAGGGATCATACCCCAGTATTGGAAGCAGTTAAGAAATTACATAGCTAAAAGATTAAAGAATTTATTTGCACATTGTATCATAATTAGTTGAGATTTCCCGAAAATTATGTTGGCAGCTAAGACATGCATGCAATCACCAACAGATGTACAATGCACAAAGCTACATGTACCAGTTCTGAGGTTTCCTGAAATGCAGGATGGGAGACAGGTTGTTCTGAAGGTCTGTCAGGCTCAGAGAGATGGACGCTAGAATCGCTTGGTTCAACTTCATATACAGGTTGCTAAAATACAGCCACTGAGGTTTTATTAGGAGAATATTTTTTCATTCATACAATACAACAGCTTTCAGTCTTGGGGTAGGGTGAAGTAGTGATGGGAGGAAAAGCAAGGAAGCACATTATGACCAAGGAGAAAATTCATCTCACCTAGCTTAAGCTATCAAAATGGCATTGAATCAAAATTCTTACTGTAATTAATCTAGGACAAATACCTCCATAGGTATTTCATTTCATCCTAAGATAGGTTCAAAGTGTCTGTCATTCTTCAGTGACTACAGATACAGCCTCGGACACCTACCACTCTTGAGGTCAAACCTCAACAGGAAAAATCTCATTTTAGGGTAACAGCTTCCTCTGTGATGCATAAGCTTTTTATATGTATGAAATAAGAACAGAACAATGTATTCCAAAACAGAGGCAAAATAGATTGCCCAAAAAATATTGTCCCAAATATTTGCCTTTGACAAATACCGAAACATAAATGAGTAGGCAGACCCCATTCTGAAGTCTTTTCCCCAAAAACAATACCACAACTACTGAAGCAAAGCAACAAAAAGTGGAATGATGGTATTCCTAACTAAGAAGAGAATCAGGCTATTTCTTTCTAATTAATATGGTCTTCTGATAAACAATTCTAGTAATTGAAATAATAATAGAAATTTAAATTTTAATGAAACTACTTTAAGTGAACATTATAATTTTTTTTTACCCCAAACAAACACCTTGATAATGTGTTCCTATTTGGTTTGAGCTTTCCCAATGGAGTCAGATGCATGAGGCACACAAGAAAATACATTCTTTGCAAATAAATTATTTTAAAGTTATAGAGCTGGAAGGCTCACAATTTTCCTTAAGCCCCTGGAAAGGGAAAGGGAGACTACAGTTTTACTTTATGGAGTAACTATAGTCTAAAGAGATGAAGCACTAAACATATTAAAAGTTGTCTTCATCTTACTAGAGACCAGTCCACAAGTTACAATAGCAGATGACATTAGAACACTAATTTTATTTTCTCCCAATTGTACCTTGCATAGCATGGTTTATCAGACAAGGTGTAATGACTTATACCTGCAGAAGCATTCTGTTATTATGTCCAACTTAATTCCTGCATACAATAAGGGGACCCGGTGCAACAGAAATACACAAATACAAGAAAAGTGACAAAAGACAGGAAGACTGAAATGTTCATTAGTGGATTCTTTCAAGACTCTACTTGTTGCCCAATTCACAGAAATTTTGGGAACAGTTTTCTGAATCAACAAAAAAAGTTCTACAGAGGAGTGATAGAAAGGATTCTAGTTTAAAATATATTAATTCACAAGACTAGTAATATTCAAAATATTACTTTGGTAACAGATTTTTTTATATTACATTTTATTAAGTACCTAACAACTTTGAATAAGTAACCTCTTCCTAAAATACAATGCAAACTCTTTCAACCTCCAGACACCTCAAGCATGCATGACTTAAGATTAAAAAAAATAAATACCCTTTAGACTATTTTTGATGCCAGCAAGAACATTCAAGAGCTACAGCTAAATTGAAGATAAAATCTCCCAGATCAGAAGCATAATGAAAGAATCTCCTTTTAGTATATAATTTTACTTTGTTAGTGCAAATAGTAATATACAACATACTTACAGCTTCAAAAGTGAGTTCCTCAGGTGAACACACTGTGGCATTTATTTCATTTGCCTGCTCTGGAAGCTCAGGCATTTGCTGTGAATTGGCCACACAAGGACTGACTTTCTTCAGTGTAATTTCAACTCCATTGAAAGTGTGCTAACAAAAACAAGAACATCTCACCACTAAAATACAATTTTTTCAGAAAAGTAATAACTTATTTACAACAGTTGCACTTCCTTAGAGGGATTTCAGCATGAAAGGAATAAGTTAATGCAAAAAAAAGTGGGCAGTCCTAGATTCAGAGCACGTTGCAGTTTAGATTTTTGCACTCATGAGCATGTTAGCATAATCAGGAGGTAAATCTAACAGGTATTTCCACCTTCATGTTACCATATTTAAAGTATTTCTTTAATGTACAATGTCTTAAAAATAAAGCATGTTAAAGTATAAGATCAAAAAATACCCATTCCTTGCTCTGCCTTCCAATTTGTCATGATGTTAACAAACCAAATTATTCCCTGATGGTAATTGTTCAACTGATCCTATGGGACTATGCAATTAGTTCAAGGATGGTAATAATTTAACATTACAAAAAATTAAGAAATATTTACATATGCATAAATGTGATCTAATTTGTCATGTCTGGATACAAAATTAAAAATTGTACTTCTATACATTACTTTATGCTGCTGGTCCCAAAGAAATCATCTATTTATCAACAGACTTTTTTATTCCATTCATGAAAAGCATAGATTTCTGCATTTCCTCCAAAGAAGAAAAAAAGCATAGAGATCAGTAAATGTTTCGTGACATACGAGTACTGTGTATAACATCCTAAGTGTAATTAACTCTGCTTTTGCAATCCTGATTTATTTGTTATGACTATCATGAAACAACTTATAATGCAGTCCTGAAAAGGTGAAATTTTATTATAATTCAAGGATTAGTTTGATGGTCTATATCAACTTAGCTTCAAGAAAAACAAAAGTGTTTGTTTCAGAGCCAGACTATCACCTTCCTCAGCTAATTTGTCTTTAATTTGCAGAATCTATGCACATACATTGCCAAAAAAACGGTTTATAAATTAAGAAGAGGGCTGCGGTAAATCTTTAGGAGGGGTTTTTAGTACTATTGGCTTTCCAAGCTGCTACTTTGGATGCTTCTACAAGTAATCAGTGCTACTACCAGTCAACAGACCACCTGTATTGGAATTACACGGCAAGGTTTTGGTACCAGGGTGTGGGGGGAAGTGGCAGGTCCACGAAGCCCCCAGGACCCCTGAAACTTGAGGAGCTTGAAATATTGCAGGGTGTGAGGCCTTTCCCATGAAGAACAGTGAGGCTAATTAAACATTCCCATGGACACAGCCTTGAGTTTTAGGGAGTTATCTAGAAAAGGATAACAGTACAAGGACGAGGTTGTTGATTGTGTGCAGGTGTTAAATTCCTAGGTGTTTTTGTGAAAATATATTTACATTATGTCTGTGGGAAAGTAGGGGCCAGCGGGCTCCATAAAACCTGCCTACTGCTCTGAAGCAGCAGACACCTCTTGTCTCATCACTCTGTTTGTGTGTGTGTGTGTGTCTTCGTTTCTTCACGGACCAAGACCTACTGACAGACACCCTACGACAGCGGGGGGCTACAGGAGTAGCTTCTGTGAGAAGCTACCAGAAGCTTCCCCCATGTCCAATGGAGCCAATGCTCGCTGGCTTCAAGATGGACCTGCCACTGGCCAAGGCCAAGCCCATTAGTGACAGTGATAGCACCTCTGGGATAAAAGATTTAAGAAGGAGGAAAAGTTGCTGTGCAACTGGACAACTGAAGGTGGAGGAGTGAGAATATGTGAGAGCAGCAACCCTGCAGACACCAAGGTCAGTGCAGAAGGAGGTGGAGGAGGTGCTCCAGGTGCCTGAGCAGAGACATTCCTGCAGACCATGGAGCAGACCATGGTGAGGCAGCTGCCCCCCTGCAGCTTGTGGAGGACCCTATACTGGAGCCAGTGGATGCCTGAAGGAGGTTGCAACCTCATGGGAAGCCCACACTGAAACAGACTCCTGGCAGGACCTGTGGAGCCATGGAGAGAGGAGCCTGCACTCAGGTTTGCTCGCAGGATTTGTGACTCCGTGGAGGACTCATGCTGGAGCAGTCTGTTCCTGAAGGACTGCACCCCATGGAAGGAAAGCCCATGCTGGAGTACTTAATGAAAAACTGCAGCCCATGGGAAGGACTCATGTTGGAAAAATCCATGGAGGACTGTCTTCTGTGGGAGGGATCCCACACTGGAGCAGGGGAAGAGTGTGAGAAGTCCTCCCCCCGAGGAGGAAGGAGCAGCAGAAACAACACATGATAAACTGACCACAGCCCCCATTCCCCATCCCCATGTGCTACTGCAGGGAGGAGATAGAGAAAATAGGAAGTTCAGTCCAGAAAGAATGGAGGGATGGGGGAAAGTTGTTCTAAGTTTTGGATTTATTTCTCATTACCCTACTCTGATTTGACCGGTAATAAATTTGATTCGTTTCCCCAAGTTGAGCCTGTTTCACCTGTGACAGTACCTGGTGAGTGATCTCTCCCTGTCCTTATCTGGACCCATGAGCCTTTCATTATATTTTCTCTCCCTGTCCAGCTGAGGAGAGGAGCGATAGAGTGGCTTTGGTGGGCACCTGGGGTCCAGCCAGGGTTAGCCCACCACATCATGTAATTTCTTCCTCTAAAAACATAAAATTTTCAGAATTTTTGTTTTTGATTTCGACATATTCCAACTAACTCCTTATCAGTTACCTTGCATTCCTTGGATTCTGATTCTTCCATCTTTTGAAGTTTTTCTAACAAAGGCAGTATACTGGCACTGTATATATTCCACCAGAGGGCAAGAAATGACAGTTGATGAAAAGATCCAGAGGTTGTGTCATCCTGCATAACTCTCTTTGTCTGAAGGTTGTATTTGTAGTTCCAGGGCTTTGTTGCTCCCAAGAAGTGAACAACTTTGGCATCTCTACCAAAACTGTAGAGATTAAACATACATTAAATATTTTTTTAGCATATATAAACTCCTAAAGAAACACACTCTCACAGGTGAGATAACTGGACATTTTGCAGCAGTAACACGTTCAAGATGAGTATATATTTTAATTTTTTTTCCTATCTTATTAGTTTAAGTCATCTCATTTAAAATACAAAATGTTGCATTGCCATTCGCTTCCAACTGCTCATTCTAGTAGAAAAGCTCATGAAGGAAACTGACAGGCTCATGCAGTACCATTTCCAGTCCTCCTGCATGCTCTGTTCACAAACAAATACCACTTCAAATATTAAATCAACATAATTGGTTATTACTGATTTCATATTAAAAATTACTACTAATTATATTGATGTAATTTCACCTCCCAGTAAGAGTGTATTGTGCAACTGGAACAGAAATTCATAACACCTTAAACCCAACTTTCTTTTTACCTGAAAATTTTTCAACTGCATTGTCTGAAGTCATATAATTAGTAGCACAAATTTTGTTTCACAGAAGAACCTAAGAAATGGTTCAAAAAATTTAAACAACTCCAACTGTTTCTCAATTACTCAAAATGAAAGGAACAAGTTTAAAAGTAGAGCTGTCAGAACCTAATGCCAAAGTAATTACATCTTTTCAAACATGAAAGAAGCTTCTCTGAAAGAACATGAGACAGTGTAGAGAACTCTGGGACTCTCCCTGTGTCCAGATGCAAGACATTCATATTGCATTTAAGCTTCTATTGCATGGCTTTTACGTAAGATCATTTGTTACTACTGTAATTTCTCATCAACAGAATATGCCACTATTACTCTCTCTTACAGAAGGATGTTTGTTAACAAATTACAGAGGTTTACAGTCAGTCAGAAGTGTTACTACTTACTGATTGAAAGCAGGAACATAGGTGTATACAGCACTGCTGCTCAAGTTATAGAGGAAAGGTAAGTGTTTGCCAATATCTGCTGTTGCCCAGTTGCTGAAGAAGCTATTCAACAATCCTTGATCACCTCCTAAAGAATACATAAAACAGTATTACCAGAATTATGTATTATGTGTACACTCAAATTTATATCAAAATTTCACATCCAAGCATGGGAATGAGACTGGTGTGTTCATGGGACAGCAACTTGGGCTTGAAAATATGGCCATGTGAGCAGGTACAAGTGAATAATACCTGATTCACTCCGATGCAAGTTCAGTGCAAATGAAGTTCTATTGTAATATATGAAGAAAGGAGTAGGGTTTGGTCTCCCTCAGAGCAGAAGACTGAAGATCAGCTGTATTTCTCTCTCCTAAGCCAGACAGCAAAATTAAAACTTACTGAGCAAGATTCAGATCCAACGTCCCTCCATTGCCCTTTTCTGGGAAGCACAGTCCACATTAAATCCACAGGTCTTAAATACAGCATAAGAGGCAAAGTTCTGCACCTTTAATTCTTTGTGGGGCAGAATTACATAAAGCGCAGAGAACTCCTGCTTTCGTCTTTTCTGCCTGATAGCATGGAAACTATGACTTGCACTTCATTCCTTATGCCTTGCCCCTTACCATCAAAGCTGCCATGTTCAGCAGCAAACTGGAGCAGTAGGTTGTAAGTTTTCAAAGAGGGACGGAACACAAATACTCCACTATTAAAGCAGTCAGGCCAGCCAGAATCAGGAGCTGCTGAAAACTCTTCTCGATCAAACAATTCATCAACATTGCAAAGCACCTTAGAGAGAGCAGGAAAAGAAAGAAAATCTTAGAAGAAATGTTTATCTAAAACATGAATTGCTAAATTAGTACCAATGCAGTAAATTGCTAGTTTGGTCTAGTATATGGCTTGCAGGGCATAAAAGTATTGGCAATGTAAATTGTGCTAGGGGTCAGAACCCCTATTTTTAATATAATAAGGCAACATTGATTGTGGTTCTCCAAGATTTCTCTGATAAAAGTGCAGAGCCTGTGTTATTATTTCATGAACCTTGGAGACCATCTAGAAGGTCCTTTTAAATATTATAACATACTCTGAAAATACACAGTTTCCTTCTTTCTTAGCTCACCTTTCATAGTTCATTATTCTCAGTAACTGCAACAGACCTGAATGAAAACTGCGAATCTAAATAATTTGGGCTAGCAACAGACTGACTAAAGGGGTAGTAAAAAAACCGTATCTTGCTGCCAGTTTTCTAATGTAAGTGAAGTTCTTTGTTTTTTAAGCTTCACACAGAAGTGAGAAAATCAATCAGGTTAAGGCCCAGATGACATTTAAAGTTGATGGAAAGATAGCTGTGCAGTCACTGAAAGTCAAGACCCCACCTATAACAGTGAAAACCAGAAGAAATTTTTTTTAGGAGAAAGATTACTTAATTGAATTTAAAACAAAGACAAAAATTTGCCTTCCTCCTTTAACTTTAATGTAAATCAGGAAATCATAAGCCTCTCTCCTCAAGAAGAATAACTTAATTTGGTTTCTGATTCAAATACTATTCTACTAAATTAAAATGTATCCCAGACTTTCAAAGTGAGCCATGAAAGTGCAAGGGAAGGCTGACATGATTGTCTGTGTCAAAATTATGGTCATTTTTTATCTCTATACTTCTAAAGGCTTTAAAAAAAAAAGGAATTAATGTTTCTGGATTTTTTTTTTTCCATTTTAAAACCAGCCTGCCTTCCTGACCAGAATAATTAGAAACAAAAGTATATGAGAGAGATCTATTTTAAACATCTATCAGAAGCCTCTGTGCACAGAGTGAGTTTGTGATCTCTTTTGATGACAATCCTGAGGCTACTTTCCCTAAGAATTAATTTATTTTTATGCAGACAGCAAAACTGTGAGCAGCAAATCTGGTCACTTCACAGGCCGATCGGCTGCCTGACAAGGGATTATCCCACACTGAGGAGACAGACCCAAATGTTTCCACAGCTCCCACTCTACTCACCAAAGTGTCTGCATCCATGAACACACATTTGCTGAATTGAGTAAGAGTCCAACAACGAAGCTTAGTAAAGGTTACACCCAGTTCTGGCCTCTGCATTAGAGCCAAATGGACTGAGTCAGCACTGTCAAGCACATCCACCTGGATTACTTCATCAAATACACTGCGGAGGACTGACCTACCAGAGTGAGCAGTGGAGAGAAAGAAGGGCACTTAGACCTAAGTTCATCAGAGTTCACTTCAGGCATGAAAACAGTGACACACAGCACCATGTTAATTATGCCAATAACCAAGGCTAGATCGATTGGTTAGAATAAGAAGTCAGAAGTGCAAAGTCCTTGCAAATAGTCTGCTGAAGTGACATCTATCAGTCAGACCACAAACCATGGGGGCCAGCACATCTCAAAAGCAACAGCTGCTGTATGAAGGAGAAAACAATCCTTATTTAAGTCATTTGATCTCCTGTATAAACACAAACAGAAATTAAAGCAGCTTTCATCCTGCACAATTGATTCTAAAGAACAGCATCATACTTTGTTCTCTCTACACTGAACAGGATAAGACATGCACTGCCAGCACAGTCATTTGCACCTATTACGCCCAAGTAAACACAGTTTCAAAACTACACATTTTCAAACAGACAATATATACTTGCTTATTACTACAAATCATCTCAAATGAGACTTTTAGGAAGACACTTTTTTTCTATGCATGTCTTTCATGGGAATTTTATAGGTAACACTGAAGTAGGCAATTTTCCAACAAGAAAAAAAGTCTTTTAAACACAGGTTATTTATTTGCATTACACTATTAACTGCAAAGTCCTGGATATCACACAAACACAGAAAGAGAAAAGCCTGTGCTGTTTGAAATCTAGATTTCAGGGACATTAGCTTTTGCCAGCCTGGTCTTCAAGGGACAGGAGTCAACCGAGAAAGATATAAGAGTGGGTACAGATTTTTAGAAGGATAGTTCAGGGATGTACTTTTTAAAAAAATGCTATCTTTGATTAAAAATATATATTATAAAGGTTTTTCTTCTCACTGAATGGGGATGAAAAAAACCCTGGGGATTTAGTATTGACCCGTGTGTCAAATGGATACAGTATTCCCTCAGGAAGGTGACAGTGTTCTGGCATAACAAAATCCATACATTAAGAAAGTCTGTAAAAACAGATTTTTGTGCATCCAATCACAGAAAAATGTGAAAACATGTTCCTTGAGCCAGATGCCTTGCAAATATATTCACATGTCATACAGAAATCAGAAGCTTGCACACTGCCTAAGCCATAACAGAACTAAGAGCTTAAGTAGCTATGGCACAGCATGTTCCTTTTAACAAGTGACACAGTCCTCCAAATAACAGGGCTTGAGTTCGACAGACCTAAACAGATTGGTGTAAATACAATTCTGTAGTGCTATAGAAGCATAACCCAAATTGGAAAGTGATTTTGAAAAAAAGAAGCAAGAAGAAATTAATTTCTCATCATGATAGCAGTGCACCAATATTTTAAGACTACTCATCTGAAACCTAGCCCCTTAGGTTTTTAGAGAGTTCTGATGTTACAGGTGGTTAATATCCTGCTCTTTCTAAAACAGAAACACTTGGGGGGGGGGGGGGGAAACAACAAAACAAAACAACAAACCAACAGCAGTGCCTTTCTTTCAGCTCAAAAGCATGACATTCGAACCTTAGTTCCAAAATTTTCAGCTTAAGTTCTCAATTATGGGCTTAAGACAATTTCTAGCCACAAGCTCTACTCCTGTAAGTGAATTCTTATTATGCTTGAAATCTTACCATGGATGTTATTTGGGACTCCTGTCAGAAATCACTAGCCAACAGGGAAGCCTACTAAAATCTTTCATGCTGTTGTTTGTTCTTCCATATTATCAGATCTCCAAAAATACATGAATACTTACCTCATCCCACTGGAAATCTCTGGTGTAATTAGAACTGTCAATTTTCTAGATGTCTTATGGTTCCTCAATGACTGTCCGAGAACCAGAGCGCCTTGACAGTACACATCATCGGTAGCAAGGGTCACAAAGGCTTGATCTGTTACTGCAAGGAAACATTCAGAAGGTTCACTTTACAGCTCTAACATAAGCTCTTTTGGCAGATTCCCTCCTCCTCTAGCTAAACAACAGGCTGTGGCTTTATAACAACCTGCAGTTTCTGTGATAAACACTTTTCTCTTCCAAAACTCCCCCCAGAAGACACAATCGAATAGAAAATCCAGTGAACGTGACTGCACTATGTATGTTTCTCAATTGTGTTATTTTTGATTACCTGATTTACATAATGACAGGCATGAAGTTTTTGGACTAGCCTTAAACAAATAATTCTCTAAGTCTTACTGTCTAAACATAATGTCAACCAAGAAAAGCCAAAATTGTAAATCTTTAGGTTTAAGATTTATCTAACATAATATAATACAACCAAAAAGGAAAATGTTCCTGTTTATACAGTGTCAAAGCTAAGGAAAAGAACAAGATGTTGAGTACTAGCCAGAAATATTCTTCTTTCCATAACATCACTAACAGACATTATTCTTTGCTCTGTCCTCTTTGTACTGGAGTAACTGGTGCTGGCTGAGCAAGTGCAGAGGAATTGCTACCAAGATTGGTACACCTCCCAGAAGCTGAGGATCCTTACCTCAAGTGACACCAAGAAAATTAGGAGTGTTCCCCATTGTCAAGAAACACATGGGAAAAAAGTCACAATTAAGAAAAAGAAGGAAAGATACACTTCTGCACAACAGGAGACATTGTATTTTGTAGAGATACCAGGCCTGTGGCATTATCGTTAGGGGCTGCTTCTTCAGCTCTGCCCTCTGACAGAACCACCACTATCAGAGTTCTCCTGGAATGAGCCAGAACCAATGACTTAGCAAGGTGAACAGCCTTCTTGGAGCAGAAGGATGATCTCAGCATTCTAGGCTGCAAAATTAACCAGAATAAGACAAGCAGGTCACACGGATGAGGGGAATTCCACTGAGCTCTACAGAGTTTCATAAACACTTGCACTGAAATACTTGTTTAAAACCACTGTCATCCTAAGGCACAAGCAATTACGTTAAATAAATCAAAACAACCAAACAATAGCAACATAAAACCCCTGTCATACAGTTTCCAGGGTCTGTGAGAGACACTAGGAAAGAATCTCAGAGAACTAGTTGCAGAGAACCCAAAAAATGACCTCATGGCTGCCTCAGCCAGAGGCTGCCAAAATTAATGAGCTCAAACCTCTAGCCTAACATCAAGGTATGCAATAAAGTATGGTTGGTGCTTGTGAATATTAAACTCTCAGATACTAAGTATTTTCATTTTTCATGTCCTCCAAATCTAGAGCAAAGCACAGACTCACTGGTGTGTTGTCTTTGCTCCCCCCTTTTTGCCCCTACCTCTCACTCATCTCCAGCCAGACCTGAATTCAAATCAAGCATTATATACATTATGTTTGCTGACATTGCAACACATCTCTGCACCTTAGGAGAATCCTCGTAGTATCAAACTTGGCCAAAAAGCCTGAATCACCCACCCAAATTTAAAATAGTTTGCAGAACTCACAGCTAAGTAAACTCCAATAATATTTCTAATGACAATTTCCAGAAGAAGCAAATGAAAAAATGAGCTTTCAAAACTCTTGTTATTGTAACAGCTCAAACAAGTTATGGGCGTTCCAGAAAACAGTGAATAAGAAGCTACTTTAAAAGGACAGTTGTTCAAGTAAACTGCTCCTACTGCAATCTTCCAAAAGGTTAAAGGAATAAATATAAGCATCCATAAAAATCAATATAAACCAAAAAGACACTGAAGGCTACTTAAACAATAAAATTACTCTGAAAAGACAAAAAGTCAACAAAGAAAAGCCCTTTTGTTGGGCAACAAGCATCTTCAGCCAAAGAAAGGTAATAAAACAACTACTGAGAGGAATGTGGGAGGTAGGTTAATACAAAAACCAAGCTGTGAAATGAGTGGGAGTTTAAATCTTAAAATACGGTTTTAAATAACAACCACGAAGCTGAACACAATCTTTGCATTGCTTTTGCAAATACTTTTACCTACAGAAACTGAATCTCTACTTAAGTAATACATATAAAACCACACAAGCTAATCAAGCTAATCATCAAATAGTTCATCAAGCTGGTATGGCAAATTACCACATCCTAGACATGCTTTCATGCCCTGTACCTCTGGAGCAAAAGCTGTGGTCATAACCACAAGGAAGTAAACTGCCAAACAAATACTGCTTCTTAGGAAGTCTTTCTGATACCTCACAAAGAAATCAAGTGTCTGTTTTGAGAATCAGATGTGAGATACATGTTATGGCCTTCTTAATACAGTGAATGATTAATTAAACAGATAATCAAACTATTGACTGAAACAATTCTACATTAAAATATTTCTGGTGCAAAGAGAGAAGCATGTTCTAGCTATTTTAAAATCCTACAGGGGCATCACTAATCCATTAAGGAACCATAGGGGGGTTGAAATCAAAATATTTTATCATTACTTCTTCTTTCATCTAATCCTTGCTTTCAAGGAAAAAGTGTCACTTGACTTGCCTTATTTACAAATTTCCTTGGAATACTGTCCTCTTAAGTAAACATTTTATTTTCATTACCAAAAACTAAGGATCAGGTTTTCATATAAACTTATGAAAGTAAACTGTCCCCTTTTAACTGAAATCGGGACAATGCTGCATTAATTCTAATGTACACAGGGTTTCACCTGCTGACTTTAAGCTGCAAAAGAAGATTTGATCTTAAAAGTTTGAAATCCAAAGGTGTAAGTATTTAGAATTCATTGCCACTGTTTTTTTTTTTAAATTGTCAAGAACACCACTATGCATAACTGCCAATTCTTTGTGCTGAATGACAGTAGGGTTTTTTATGGACAACACCTAGTGTGAAGAATATTAAGTTTTCAAGCAAATTGTTTTCAAGTTGTGGATCCTTATTGCTAATACCACTATCAGAGAATTATGAGAAAAGTAAATGTATGATTAGAATCCTATTAAAACCCTATCATATGAATTTATAAATCTGCTCATTTCTCTTATATGGATTGCTACACAGCATATGATGATGCAAATTAAGAAATCATTATCATCAGTAGTGGCTTCTCAGTTTTATTACCTAACAATAGTTTCTTAGAACGAAACAAGGATTTTCAAGAAAGTAACTTGGTGAGTTATTTTAGAACCTGCTCTGAAGCTACAGATAGCCACACAGAAAAGAAAGCAAAAGTATATGAATCACTACAGTCAGGGTGATCTTATGTGGAACTTGTTACATCTTTTTTAGCCAAGATCGCCAACTTCTTATGCTACTTACTCATGGCAGTAGTACCTCAGACACTGCCAAAGGCAAAATTCTTCAACTGGCATGAAAACCAACTCTAGGGCATCTAAAAGCCTTACTTCGAATATGGACAGAGCAAGCAGACAAGGTGATGCTCACTTTGATGTTCAAAGGGAATTAACAAACACCAGGTACCCATTTTGAGAATCAGGACTGTCTGATAATAACAACCACTGAGTGACCCAGATGCACCTGCCAGCTTCAAGACAAGTTTAAATATGGTAGGAAGGTTTTTTCCATAATCCACGAGACAGAACTTTTAAAATGTATTTTCATATTTCTTCTGATAGACAGAGAAAGGATAAATGTGCTTTAACTGTTGTTCCTAGAGGAACAACTCAAATTTACCAAGCTGCCCAGTCCAAAATTGCAACAGGAGACCAGACACTCCTATGTTATGATTTTTCTACAAGCGTATTCTAAATAACACATTGTCATCTCATGCATAAAAATAAGAGCAGATAAGTCAATAGCCAAACGCCTCCAACAGGCTAGTTAGGTGTGTGCTGCCATTCGTACTAACCAGCATTGTACAGTTGCTTTCATAAATCCCTCCCCAATACCATCTGTTGCTCTTTTGTCACCTCCCCCCTGCTACTTCAGAGACAACCTGCAGGACGAGCAGGCTACAGTCTGGACCTGTGCCCACTGAGCCCAAAGCACCTTTCTGAAATCCCAAGCGACAATGACATAACACAGCCCCAGCTCACAGCACGTTCCCTAACAACGATTTTGTTACTCCCCTCCCACACATAGGTCTCTATGAATCCTCCCCCAGAAGCATGTCTCAGTGAAAATGTGTTAGACTACCACAAAGACAAAGCAAGCAACAGGCCTTGTCACTTCTCTGACCTAGCACAACCACGCCTTGGAACAGAAAGCTCTGCTCCAGCTGACACCCACAACGTTACAAGCAGTCGAGAAGTATTTCGTTACAAGTAGGTAAATGAATAACGCTATCAGACAATAACCTGTGTCAGACCCCCATCAGAAATTATTATGCAAGTTTTCAGCAAAGAGGTAACTCTTGCCCTAGTAAAAAAATTACAGCTTCCTCAAGTTGGGTACAGTAGTAGAAACATTTACATTAGTAATGAAGATAAATAGGCAACACTTTACACAGACCTTTTCATAACAATATCAACTGATATTCAATGGAATGCAATATTTCTCTTGGCCTAATGAAGTTCTGCCTGATCCAAAAGCAGATCTGCTCTTATCTTTTATTAAAACAATACCGAATTTTAGTAGACAGGATTGTGACTGTTGTGTTGGAAGAGGACTTGATTCCAATTCTTTGTAGCTTTTACTATGTATTTTTCAGTTAAGAAGTTACATTCTGCTTCAAGAGCCTGCAATTTTGTTATTCAAAATAGTAAACGACCCTCATAAAAACTGAAATGCAACATTATAATATGTAAATAGGCATAAGGCATAGCACCCAAAACTAGTTACAAAACAGTTACATACCAGTTTGAAAAAAGTTAGTAATAACTGCTTAAGCAATCCAGAGACAGAACAGAGCAATTGATATATATCAAGTTAGATGTTTCCAGTCTTTACACACCTTCCTTTAAACAAAAATAAACCCCAAAACAACAAACCAAACAATCCCACAATTCTCTAATTCTTTAATTTGCAGACTCCCTTTTTGCATCTTCCCAGTGGTGCTGAGGTGCCACATACAGGAATTCAACCTTGGGATCCATCAGGCTGAATACCTGACATCCTTCAAATTGTTCAGTAAACCCAGCTTTGGGGGAGCTGCTGCTCAACCTTTCCCTTGGTTTTCAGAGCATGTTCAAGAAACAAAACGGCACCTTTACCCACCACATCTGGTTATCCCTAAAATCAGTACCTCACGGCTTTAAGGATAATCGAATAAGACCAATACCGCTGTTTTGTAAGAAGGGGCATGAGAAAGGTTTCTCTGAATCTGCCTTAGACTGAGGGAGCCAACCCCAGGCTGTCACCCTGCGGATCCACCAGGAAAGCGCACAGAGACCCGAGCAGGCCAACCTGTACGTACAAGCAGAACACATAAAGGAGCTCAACTATTTCACTCCAGCACCCAGACAGTTAAAATCCCAATCTGAAGCTGCTGATTACAGCACAGGATGATAAGCACTGCTGATAAGGAAACCACTGAGACCCTCGCCCGCACCGGGGTGTGAGAAGGACGAAAGCCCCGGGGGGCACCAGCCTGCGCTGCCGAGCGGCCCTTCCCGCCCGAGAGGCTGCTGAGCGCAAGGGGGGCTGCGGAACGCCGGTCCCCGGCCGGGGGTACTCACCGGACATCCTGGTAGGCCCCGGGCCGGCCGGGCACGGCTCGGGCCGGGCACCCACCTCCGCCACCGCCTCACCTGCTGGCGGCGGGCCCGCTAAATCGCCAAACGGGATTAGCCTCTTTCCTGCTGAAGACAGCGGCAGGTGAATTACATTCGCAAGGACTCCTGCGCAGCGGCAGAAAAACGGCATTAGCGGCAGAGACCGTCGGGGGGGCGGTGTTGGCACGACCCACCCCGCCCGCGTTCCCGGCGCTGGCTGTACTGCAGGACAGGCATCCTCCTTTTGCCCGCTCCTCTTCCCTGCCGTGCGCCCCCGCGCCGCCCCGCTCCCGAGCAGGGCACAGTCCGGAGCTGGGACCCCGCACCCCCCGACACGGCCCCCGCACCTGCCCGCGGCGCCCCCGCGCCCGCCGGCGGCGACGGCACCTCCAGTGGGCGCGGCGCTCCCGCTCCCGCTCCATTGGCGGCCCGCGGCAGCGCCCACCCCGCGCCTGGGGGAGGCCCTCCCCTCCCCTTCCTCCTCTGCCAGCACGGCCCCGCACGGCCCCGGCGCGCTGCTTTGAGCGGCCCGGGTTTCAGGCGCTGCAGCAGAGCCTCCCCAGCCACGCATATGGCTGTGGAAAAACGGAGAGGAAGGAAGACAGGCTGTGGGAGACTCTGCCGTGCAGCCCTTGGAGGGAAACAAGAAAGCCTGTGGTGGTGAAAATGGCAGAGTGTGGAACGAGGTCTTAGAGTACGATGACTCCAGCGTGGCATGCTGTCACCCAGATACATGGGGTTTACTGTAATTTAAGGGAGTCTACCCCTAACTCTCTGGGGCCATTGTACCCCCTTACGGATACACACAGTGTGATAACTTGTCACCCAGATAAGTAGATGTTTTCAGGGAGCTTGTGCTATTCAGAGAGCTATAAATATTTTAAGAAATGCATAAATAAATGCACAGTTATTCACACAGTGTTTTTGCCACCGACTTAGAAGTCATGTAACCATGACATGTAACTCAGCCACACAATTTCTCTGCAAGGTAATTTTAGGCTGGCATGGTTCAGCTGAGGTATTTTTGCATCACCATGTGCTGTGAACATCAGTAACTACTTAGCAAAGGTCAAGAACTTCAGATAGTGTGCCACTGAAGAAAATACCTAATGGTACCACTCAACTATTTAAAAAACTTTATTTCCAACAATTTGCAAGAGATTCACTGTTGCTGCTCCAAGCTGCAGCATTTGTGCTTTCACACACTGGGAGAATCCCAAAGGTCCACTAGAGAAGAGGGTATTATTGCTCTAGTAGTGGTGAGGTGTTTAACAAAGGAAGAACATAAACACATAGGAAATCAAGCTTTACTTAGCCCACAGAAACAAAATTCTTGGGAATCTGTGTTCACCATCAGCTTATATAGACAAGTCAACTAAACAACATGCTTATCAGTAGCAAGATTGCTGTTGTAGATAATTTCACTGGCAGATCTATTTCATTTTGGGGACTTTATGACCAATAAAAACTTTTTCTTGGTAATTAAAGTGATGTCTACATTTAGATGATTTTCTGTTTCACTTGTGTGTCACCAACTTTTTATGCAGGATAAAATAGATTTTAAATATCCAAGCCAGTAATACAAGCTCGAGTTCTGATGTTCCAGCAGCCAGCTTCTATTCCTTCCTTCCTTCCCTTCCAGATTTAAATACATTGGATCTTCCCTACATAATCCCTCAATTACTTCAAAAAATAAAAGTAGAAATAATTATCACAATAATTATAAAAATATTATTATCATAATCATCATCCTGGTTAAAAAGGTAATTAATTAACACTGAAAAGTGTGCCTGCACACTGGTATATTGGCCGCATGCTGATATAGTTAGACCAAAGAGCTTCAGAGGGTTAAACACTTGGGTAAGCAGGGTTTATCCATTCAGATTCATGGTTTTTGTTCAAATTATCTGTAATAAATTGGCTTTTGGGCTAACATTAACATGAGTAATAAATTATTTTGAAAACACTCTGGGCAATTTTAAATGAAGTGTCATAGTATGTCAAAAGCAAAAATGTTAACAGTGCACATAGATCCTTCTCTAAACAGGTACTGGGAAAAAATAGATAGTTAAGCTGGTTTGGTTGGTTTTTTCCCTGTAATTTGTCGTTAGTTTGAAGCATTTCTTTCTCCGCCCTAGTGGGACACAGTTGAACTTGTGTATAGAAGGTACCAGTCCTCATATGTCCCGGAAAGTAGCAAACAAAATAAACAAAACTTAGATCATCTTAGATAAAACACAGTATGTGTTTATTGAAAATTTTCAGGAGAAAGAAACAAAATATATATATTTTCCTGGTTAAACAAACAACTGAAGTGGTAATAGCAAAAGACTTAACATTTCATTACTCAAAACTTTATGTCTATCTGAAAAAATATACATCAATCTGTTCTAACTATTAACTTGGAAAATTAGTATATTAAAAGAAATATCAAGTGTCCTTGAAAACTATATTAAAAATATTTTCTCATTCATAAATTGAAAGTGATAGCCATAAAGGTGTTCATTTTTTTGCAGGTTGTCAAGGTATTTCCATATTTAAACTGATGTACATTATAATTTCTTACTTTCAGGATCAGAATAAAGATTGTGACAATCTAAGAAACTGATACATATCCATTTTAAAAATAATTTAGATAAATAGTATTCTACTTTAAGAAAAAAGTACTTTTCCAGTTTATGTCTTCCTCTCAACAATTTAATAAATACAAAGTCATGTTTACCTTCATCTAAATGGAATTTTGGTAGCAAAACCATGATTTGCATACAAAATTAAGATAACAACATAGTGATTGCCTTATGCTTTAAAAATGGAAGTATTGTCAGTAAACTAATAGTTTTGTCATCTTTCATCTGTATTTCACTTATTTGCTGGTATTTTGATTCAGTTAGCTAAATGAAGTCAGAGAGACTGGAAAAGTGTTAGTTTTTGTGATAGATTTATTTACAGAAGGATGTTTGTGAGACCGTCAAGGTTGATTAGGAATGAGGCAAAAAGATGAAACAGTTTTGCTAGAAAACTATGTCAACCACACCTCCACGTATGTATAAAGTTTAAAAGTTATGACTCAGATTTTAGAGAATGAATTGTCACAAACCCAATCTCAATGAATCAGAAAGCTTTATACCCATTGTCCCTTTTCAGAAGCTATGAATAATATGTTGTTTTTTAAAAAAAACAGCTTCCAGATTAGTGCATTCAAAGGTTCCTAGAGCAAGGCCTAAGTTTTCAAAAAGAGAAACTAAATTAATGTGAAATTCTAGTTCCTGAGAAGAGGTAAACATCATTTCAGTAATTAAGTAATTAAATAAATAAATACAGAAATAAAATCAGCATGTGTTTCTCTTATTTTTATTTTTTTAAAGTGGTTTGTCAATATACATATTCTTTTCAATTTATTATAAAATTAAGAATGAATTTTCTACCTATACTTCCTTTCACTTTGCTAAAATTCAGACATAAATACAAAGTAAAGGCAGTAAAATTTTTAATCCTTTAGACAACTATAAGTTTTCCTTAAATATTATAAATATTACAGAAATATACTGAAAAAACCCAACATGCATGAATGAAAATGGCAAACTCCTTTATCCTATTCTATCAGAGGGATTGGTTTTTGGGCAATTTTGAAAAGAGAAAAAGAAATTTGTTCAATGACTCAAATGCTGACAAACCCAAAACTTTCCATTTTTAGCTTATAATGTACTTGATTTCTTTATTGTTTAAAATAATTTCTGAGTCAAAATCCATATCCAACATTTATAAATGCACATCGGATAGTGCAATACAATCCCTGGATGTTTTAAGCATATCTTTGATGACATGAAGCTCAAGGCACAAAAGTGACATCAAGTTAGAGAGAGCAGTCTCGACAAAACATTCATTAGAAGAAGATATTTTTTTTTTGTCAGAACAGCACAGTAGAATGTCACCAACCAAAGGAGCCTGTGATCAGAGGGCAACTCTTCCTTCAGTGGTTTACACTGCAGCTCCACCTGAAAAATTAAGATTGAACATTCAGTATTTCCACCGTGGATGCTCTTTGCCAGCTTTTCAGAGTATTTTTTGCTTGAGACAACAGGTAGAACCTTGTATCCCCAGAGACACATGGACAGCCTTCCCCATTTGTCTCACTCCCTATTTCTAGAGGGCTGTGGGATCACTGACCTGATGCTTTAGTCACATTCTGGCCATACAAACGGAGGGAAAATGAGTGACTTGAGGGACCCTGAGGGCACAAACAGCCTTCACAGCCCTGACCAGCCTCTTCCAGGGCGTCCAGGGCTATATTACAGCTGGATTTCCCCTATGTAACCCTGCCCAAGCCTTCCCACAGTGCCTAAGCAACAGCAGCTGCCCTGGAGCCTGCCATGGTACTCCTAGACTTCCTGAAGTGCCAGGGGATTACACAGATCTCTTAGAAATGCCTGTGAAGCTTCTCCTGCATTCCACTTATTTCTTAGCTATTAGTTTCATTAGAGAACATATAATGTGAATTAGAGGTTTAAATTGCCCTCTATGACAGCAAAGGGCCAGGCCCAGGCTGTTCCCACAGAACCACGAGCCAAGGGCAGCCAGCGCATGGCCCAGGCTGTTTCCTCCCTGGTGGTGGGTGTGCACAGAGCGGTGGTGATGGCAACTGGGCCAGCCATCATCAGGTGAAGACAAGGCAACTAGTCAGGCCACAGGCCAAGCCAGGACAGCCAGCCAGCCACCTGGACTCAAGGCTAGGACAGGTGTGTGGGGATGTGGTACAGCCTGGGGCAGGAATCCTACCCAGGCCAGAGCTAAAATGCGGGTCCTGGCCAGAGGCTACATGGGGTACCCCTGGTGAGGCTGATCTGAGGCAACCAGGCTGTTTTCCACATGCAGAGCCACAACAGTCAGGCACTTCTGTGGTGGCATTGACCTCACACCCTGTAATTTCCTTCACAAAGTGATGTATATCCATCTTCTGGGCATGTTATGGCTTCCCATGCTTGTCCATGATGAAGAATATTAATTACCTGTGTCTCTTAGAGACCAGTGAGGCTCATTAGGACAAAATTTTTAAGCGCCTTTATTCCTGCCCTGTTTCTGCCCCCACTCAAATTGTTTATCAAATTCCCATCTACTTTAGAACTAAATCAGTGGGAAACTGATTTGATCTTACCACGTGGTTTGAAACAAAGTCTCTTATTCTTGTAAGCAGAGTAGGCTGCTATCGATCCAACAACCAATATTACAAAGGCAGAAATTACAGGCGATGTAACTCCAGCTATTAATCCTGAATCTGTGGAAAAAGAAAGGTTTGGCTTTTATTTCAGAGGCATTGAAATAGTTCGACTTAAGCATATTGTGTACTGAAGTATGCTTTTACCAAACTGTGAGAACTGTTTGGTGAAACAATAGAATTAAGCAGACAAATAGAAATTATGTTACATTACAGCTGGTGTGAAAATGTTGTCTTAAAGCCTAATTTAGTATATATGCTACTTTTATAAGGCTAACATTGTTTTTCTATATCATGATGATCAGAAATAAATTGTAGAATAAATGATTTACTCTATACCTGTGTTTCCTCCATGATTGAAATGATGCTCTTCTTCTCCTGGAATAGAGGGTGAAGTTTCATCAAAGAAATGTTTGTCAACTTGTTTTGAGAACTCAGCCTTTTGCTCAGCAAAGTATAATTTTGTATAAGAGGGCAAAAGGTGCAGCTTGACAGGACCGCAAGAGAGGAGCTCCCCTTCTAGTCCTCACTGACAGCTGTGCTGACTGGAGGAGTAACTTCATCCTCCTGACACTTCATTTTTGGAGAAGAATATTATCATCTAATAGAAGTGTCATACCTAGCAGTCTGCATCAAACTGATTTCACAGGGAGTGGGAGGCCAGTATGCTCTGGCTATTCTGTGCTGCCAGACAATCAGATGACTTATCTGTAATTTAAGTCAAGATCTGGTGCATCTGCTTTCAGTTCTGGGCAGAAACCCCTTGCTTTGGGACTGTCCTAGCTGAATTCAAAGGGATAAATCCAGCAGGGTTCTGGCACGTGCCAGAATGCTACAAAATGTTTAGGAATATGTTTCAAGTTTTAGCTTCAGGCTCATAACCATGTTTTTTGGTGAAGAAAAGCTAATCTAAATAAAAATGTCCCTCAGAGACAAACAGATTACCACTAAAGCAAAACCAAACAGCTCTGATTTACAAGTGCTAGGAAGAAGGTGCAAGGGGAATTGGGAAATGCTACCTGTTATGACCGGTGGTAAAGGCTTCCCATCAAGGAGATCTGAGTCATCAAAACCCCCTGCAAGATGAAGATTAAGATTCTGGTTGCAAAATTATCCAATCAATGTAACCCCTCCAGTTCCCTTGTCCACTCCTTTTTTAATGTTCTAGGGAAGCATGAGAGACCTCTGAAATCCCAGCTTCGACATAGTAGATGGGTCGTGTGTCTTGCACTGAATGGTCACCTACCCAAATTCACCTGAAAGGTGAAGCACTAACACTGTTGGTGTCTACCAGTTCTCCACCTGTGGGATATGTGGACTTGGGCTCTCAGTAGCACAGATCCTTATATAATATTGACATCTCGAATTCCAGTGGTTCCTGAAGCAGAAAGTCAATGGGTCCTTTCTAGGAAAGACTCCAGAAGGACATGTCCATGGCTCACCACTACAGTCATACTAGGAGTAAATACAGGATGCATGGTGGTAGCCAGGATAGATGTGCCAATTTCATTTTATTTAAGTGGGTGTCCGGGATCGCACTCAAAACAATACAGGTTTACATCCCTCTCCTCAGTCCCACTAGCTGTATGCCCCAGAGCCATCTCAGATGCACATCTCAGTACAGATTTGAACACAGACTTATCTATCCATGTCCTGTGGCTAGATGTCAAATTTGAACCGTCTCATAGTGCAGTGTATACACGCCCAAAACAGAAATGTAAAAAAAGTATTAGTCTCATGCCACTTAGGAGACAGTATTTCACATTTTGGGCAGACAGAAAATCTTTATGGTACCAACACTAAAGCTCAGAAAATCTTCCCAAAGATTGGAACAGTGATTAAAAAGGGAGATGAATGGAAAGGATGATAAAAGCTATTAATAAAGAAATAAGAGAGTAAAGTCTTAAAAATATCTGCTCTGAACAGTTCATAGGGCTAGATTTTCTTAGGAGAAAATATTCTTACCAGAATTACTATAACTTCCTGGTCGTGGTGGAAGAGGTGGGTATAAAGGTTTTCTTGAGATGTCACCTATTGATAATTAATATTGTTAGATGGTTGAATGGGCAAAACTGGGAGCTTTAAATAAAAAGTATGGTAATTTGAGATTTTCTACTTATTTCTAATTTGTCCTCCAGCGAATTAAGAAAAGGACTTTGTCACTATTTAAAACTATTTAAGCATTATATCAACAAATAGCTAGCTACTAAAACTGATTTGGGAGTGAACAGGGAATGTTTTCTAAATTAAAACATGAGAAGAATTCATGAAAATGTTGAAGGAAAATATTTAATGTATTTCTGGCAAGTGCTAATACTGTTTAATGCTGACAGGGAGATACAATGTGTTACTTGGGTGTCAGTGGTTCAGTTTTGCAGAGCTGACAGAGAAGCTGGTGTTCCAGGCCGGGCCAGAGGCAACAGGTCATGTCTGTGCCATCAGCAGGTATTAATAAAATCTGCAGATTAGTTTCATCTAACAGATGCTGAATTTAACTAATGCATGATGAAAATTCTGCTCTTGAACTGTGCAAAATGAACTCAGACTTCAGCTTCATTTTTTTTTTTAGGACTTTGTGCTAGCATTTGCCAAAGTATTGAAAAGAGATGCATTGGCTAGAGCAGGAGATCTGACTCATAGCAGTTTCCAAACTGCACATACAGTGCTGGAGTAGCAAGAGCTCACTCAGGTCAAAACCTGCCAAATTTAATGTGCAGGGCTGTTGCTCTGCATATGTAGAGTACGTCCTCTCTTGCAATTCTTTCTTCAACCAGTTCAGTCACATATTTAACTGTTCAGAGAATTTAGCTCTGAATAAATCAAAATTAGGTCACAGAAATAAATAGAACTTTCTCTCCCCCTCCTTAAATCTTTCCCTCACCTTCCAAACATGCCAGATGCCCTTTCACCATGTTTTCTCTTGCCTAGCTGCTAAATAGTATGCTTCTGTTTCTATGTAGCATTTAGGTTTGGATTCAGCAAATTATCTAGACCTGTGCTAAACGTCTTGTGAGTATAGCCTACAGCCAATGGATTTTAGGTAGAGTCTTAAAACTTTGCTGAATCAGGCTTCGTCCAATGAATTATATCCAATGGAAGAAGGGACTTGCTCTGTTTCAGCCCTCTGTGTAATGAACTAAGACTCACTATGGCACAAAAGCAGAAAACTACCAATCCCATTTTTCATTTCTGTTGTGTTCCTGCACTTATTCAGCCTTCTCTAAGGATAAGAAGACATATTCTATGTCATAGCTAATGAAAAATAATGTGTTCAAAAATACTGATAATGAGATACATATCCCTAACCTCATTATACCATGTATGAATGTCAATTAAGAACCTCAGCTGTAAATGGAACAAAAAAATAAAAACCAAGGGAAACATCATTTGCCATCCTCAGAGTGAAAACATTGGGTTTATTGAAGATACTTAAGCTATTAATTGATAATTTACTCAATATACTGAACCCATCCTCCCATAACAGTACTCATTAATAACTTGCAGGAATTGAACAATTAGTATGGGCAGGAATAAATGACAATATACACATGGGAATTATTAATGAAATTAGATTAATCTTTGGAATGTGTGGACTAATAAACCACAGGCATGAAGTACCACTGGGGAACCTGGAAATGGGAAAACACAATATAAAAGGTGTCATTCTCTAAGATCGAAACACTACTAAACCAGACCACTGGGGCAAGTTCTGGGCGATGGGCTGAGAAGTAATTTTTCTTCTGTGTGACTGTGATTCAAGTGGAACCTTAGGCTTTGATTCAATACTACTTGCATTTTGGATAATATGAGTGTACAAGAACCTATCTAGGTTCTTCACATCCTTGGTATATCTCTAAACACACTAAACAAGTGGTGTAAAAATTCCTAAAGTCAAGAATTTATATGCTTCTGTGCTGCACTGTGAATACTTCCTAGGTCAGGTCTGGGTGTTACAGAAATACCTGGCAGTTAATAGCATGTTACAACAGTTGGACTTCTTCAAGCTTAAGCTGTATCAGCAGTGCTCATCTCTGAAACATTCCTTCCTGAATTTCTAATTTGCCATCACTAGAGTTACAAGAAGCTCAAACCTCTCCATCCACTGTTACCTCTGATTCCTAATCTTAGGCAGATTCATTTTTGGTAGCTGAAGAAACTACAGCCATCACCTGCTGTCTTCAAACTTCTGTCAGAGGATACCTTCCTGAACCATCACAACTGAATGGGCCAAGCTCCCTACCCCCAGCCATTCCTGGGGTAGTCTATCATGGTAATGTAAGCCACAGCTGACTTCAGTTCATGCAGGTAGGCCAGTCTGGAAGCTCTTAGGTAGCTGGCAACCAGATGCTGTCCCCACTCTGCATGATGGCCTCAGGCAGAAGGGCTGCAGGTACAGGAGTTGGAATGACTCTCATTACCATAGCTCCTCCTGCAGTATTGCAATCTCTTTTCACAAATTAGGCAGAGTTGAGAAAAAGACTAAAAAAAATGCCAACATTATATTTAAGGAAAGAAGAGAGTACTCACCCCCACCAAGAGCATCTCCTAAATGTAGATCATTGTCTAAAAATGAATAGGAGGAAGATGCAGAAAAGTGAGTTAGACACAACTCCTGTGGGAAGTGAAATGTTAGTTTTAATAGAACACGTACAACTGAATGTTTGACAAGCACCTTTTTCAGGTTAGTCCCACAAACTTACCTAAGCTATTACACTTTTCTTTAAAACTCTAATAGAATCTAGTAGTTTCCTGCACACTAATTGACAAATGATACAGTATTTTCTACCAAAATATGAAGGTTTTTTTTCTGCTGTAAATGATGTCAAAATAAATCTTATAGTTGAATCAAGATCAATATCTCTAATATATCTGCACGTACATAAATAAAATTTGCTATGTTAACATAATAAACCTATTTTTTAAATATGTTGTGCTGTATCTATTTTTTAAATATGCTAAATTGTCAACACCTACGTCTGTGCTTAAAACTGGTATATGTATGTTTGGCTTAAGTGTAATTTATTGAACTACAAAAACTGAATACCCATTTCAAGAACAAATCCTAGGAAGCAATAAACATACTGGGAGAGAGAGATTGAATCAACTAATCTATGTGAGGGTCACTGTGACATAAAAATTTTGCTTCAGGCAATCCAATGCACCTGTCTGAGGTTGGGTGATAGCCTAGTTTTTCTTTGCCTGAGCTAGAAAGGCTTTATAATAGACTTAAATGTCTGCATGTGCATGTTACACAGAAAATTGGAGACAATGAAGTAAGAAATATTATCAGGCAAAAGAATCTCTCCATAATACCTGATTTCTCCTAAAGGATATAAAAGATCTGTACATAAACAAGCTCGTCATTCCTGATCACGAAGAACCACAGAGACAGGATAAGAGCTCAATAGCTAGCATACCTTGTCCCATATCGCACATGATGCTCACCAGACCACCTAAGCACATACACCTCGGTGCTCATGAGCACAAGGGTTTGAGGATATGGCTTAATTAAATCAAATGCAGGATGAATGTGAGTAAAATCAAGTTATTTTGAAATTTTGTAAATGAACGTTACCTTCTGTTAAATTTTGGGATGAATTTTGTTGCACTAGGAAGGTACCTACCGGAGAGCTTCAGCTCAGGCAGAGATGTGTGGGATGCCCACAGGACATGGCCTGTGTAGTAATTGGCCTCAACTGACCAAAAATCTCAGCCAGCCTCACCTCTCAATGGTATTGACTGAATGAGACATAGAGGCAACCCTGACATTAAGATGAAGCATTAGGCAGATGCTGAAACATACTATTGTTTCATCTTTCTGCACTTTCCAAATCCAATAATTGATTTTTAACACTGTGGGCTTGGGATTTTTAAAACTCTCTGCAATCCTCTTCAGTGCTGAAAGAGATTCCGAATGGTCTGTAAAATGTGGAGTTCTTAATTCTCAAGAATTAGTGCAGTGGATTCGAATCATTTGGCAGTCATATCTCAAACAGATTTCTGAGTCCCTAAAAATCAAATTCATTTCACCTGACTGAGGCAGCTCCAGTGCAGATATTGGAATCCCTAAGCTACCTTTAAACATGACCAAGGACAGAGTATTTTAGGCACAATTCAAGTAACTTACTTGAAATGTTTACATTAGGATGAGATCAAATCCACAGTTAGTGCAATATTTTAAAATAGACAGACACTTCTAATCTAGGCCAAACACAGATCTTCTTGGCCAAATGAAGTGGGAAGGAAGAATGCAACCACTAAAGGATCCAGTAGCTACCACATTCACAAAATGCTGCTCCTGTTTGTTCAAAGAGCAAGCCCTTTGTTGTGTGGAAAATATAACTGCTTTCGTGTATCGCAAGTCTTACTGCACTGTTTATCCAGAAAAAGACCTAAAGTTGTTGTGTGGGCTAATGTTATCCAGCATTTTCCAATTCAAATATTTTGTTTGATAGACAGAAATTTATTTCAGTGTTTTTTAGGTGAAAAAGCTCTATGTTATTATAACTTGTTCCATAAAAAATGTGTTTTTTTCAGCATTAACATTGGAATTTATTGTTTGGCATTCTCAGGACTACAGCTAAAACCTTTTGGTTCTCTCCACTGTCTAGAGCCCTTTTTCCTTTATGACACAGGTTTTGTAGCAAGTAGTACTAGATAATATGAAGTAAATACATGGTGAGAAGAAAGAACACCTAATTTCCTTCTGATTCTTTTCCGAGTCTGTTATCAAGCATCATGAATAATTATGCAAAAACAAAAAAGAATGGGAAAAAAGTAGAAGATCAGTTATCCATTTTTAGCAACAGTTACCCATTGTTATACTCCTCAGGGAGTTCAATACAGTCTGGAAAAGCGTGAAGAAGATTTTCAGGAAATAAAATATCACTGGCCAGTTAGGCTGTAAAGCCTTATTGGAAGTGGTAAAGACTTGTAAATGGTAACTGTCAAAAAACCACTTACTTTACATAAAGAAGACAGCTATAATTTAAATAATCTCAGCTAAAGTACAGTAGCAAAAATTATCAAGAATCTCATGAGACAGTTTCTTACATATAGAAAATCAGCTTTATAACCTATTATTACTCACTCAGCACAGGCCTTGTGGGTCTTCTGATCACTGTAGGCTTCCTTGTAATTATGTCATCTGGTGGACACAACAACACGCCAATAAACAATAAGCTTCAACTTAACAAAAGCAGATATCTGCAAATCTAGACAGCTGTTCATCACAGCAGAAGCTAAAAATGAAGGGATGTGTTTTCAAAGCCATTTTTTGTTTGTTTGTTTTAAAGAAGTCTTTCATTTTATGACAGAAACATTGAAATCTAGCATTGTCCAGTTCTCTATCTCTTTAACTTAAGTGGTAGCCACTTCCTATTCCATTCCTCAAGGAAAAAGACTTAAGATTTATTATGGGTGTAAATGCCATAGTAAAATAAGGATGTGAGATTTACATACCTGGGTGATCAAGGGCATCAGCTAAATCAAAATCGCCTTGACCTATAAGGAATGTGACAAAAAAAAAAAGACACTAAGTCAGTGGACAGGTTTCCATGACCTCCAGACCTGAGGGCTCTGTACAGAGCCAGAACACCAGTAAGAGGCAAAAAATCTCCCCATCCAAACTGGAGCAGGCACAGAACAAGCTGTCAGCTGTCATCCCTGTGCTGTGCAGTCCTGAATGACTGTGAGAGATGGGCTCATTTAATTCAAAGAAGCTATTTGTTTGGGTAGTGCAAGGAGAAGCTGCTCTCTCATGTTATCTATATTCATCTGCTGTGCAAACATGCCTTTGAAGAACACAGGATGCCTGTTATAGGGCACAGGACTATTGCCAGGAGACAGCTGAAAATAGTATTCAGTGTGGTACTTGCAAACCAAAATCATTAGGTGAGAATTTTTAATATCTTCATTATTATTTTACTAGTGCAGCTTCAGAGAGCAGCTTTACTGGCAAACCTGTGATCACTTGTAACACAAATCAACTTTCTTTTTTTAATTCTTCCTGTAACATGGGCCAGAAGCAAAAGATATTAAGATGTGTTTACTTAATTTAGTTTCCCTGTACGTTAAAAAGTCTGAGAAGTGAGAAAAAAAAATCCTTCCTGTTCTGTGTTAGGTGACCATAATGTCTTTAAATGTCACAGCAGGGCAATTAGCACCCTGACTTTTGAAATTAGCAGGTAAATAAAACTGGGAAATGTTTAAAATATATAAACTGAAGCAGACAACTTTGAACAGAACACACACAGTTATTCATGTGAGTTTTACTTTCAACTCTACAATCTGCCACTTTCCTTTTAATACACAGCATTCATGAAACACCTCTTTGCAGAATATGTATCCATTAGTTTTCATCCAGGCTGAAACTGCATCATCCTTGTGTTTGCATTCCAAATACAAGATCAGCTGGCACAAACTGACAAAAAGTCTTGATGTGTCATGACTTCCCTAAACAGAAAAGTATTACTGTGCTCTATCGAGTAAGCCTCAAGATGCTCTTGTTCTGCATCTGTTTATTTTCCCATCTAAAAAGCTTAATACCAAACTCTTCATTGAAGTGTTTTTCTTGATAAGTCTTGAACACTTCACAGCAAGAAAGGCATTGTTGTTCAAGTGGGGAAACTGAGCAACAGAGAGAGGCTGTCAGAGGTTCTTCAGCACAACTGTGCTCTGGCTTCAGCTCAGCTCCCTGATCTTGACAGGTGCTGTACATCTTCATGGCATTCTTTTCATTAATCACTGTTCCTGAATAATAGCTCTTGCTGTATCAAAGAGCTCCCAGAAAGATTAATTATCAGTGGTGAAACACTGTGTGATCCTCAAATAAGAGTCAGCACAGGAGCATAAAGTAGAAATGTTTTGATTCCCGTGATGATTTTAATGTGAATCTGTGAACTTAATTATAGCTGGGGTCTGACAGAAGAGATAAAGCAAGGTTGGAACGCAAAGTAGCAAATGGCTTCTAAAGCAAATCTGTCCCTACAAAATATTATGAGGAACCCATGTTTGGTAAGGAAAAATAGGTAACAGCATAAGGCTTTCCCACTAATATTATTAGAGTAGCATTTTATCTCTTATAATTTGACCTGTTCTCAGTGTGTCACCTTATCCTGCCACCTCTCCTTCCGGTGCCCTGGCCACTAACCTTGCCGAGTCCAGTAACCATTGGATGGGGTCTTTAGGTGGGTAATATTAATGGAATTTATAGAATGATTTGGGTTGGAAAGCACCTTAAAGACCATCTAGTTTCAACTCTCCCTCCCATGGGCAGGGACAACTCCCATCAGACCACGTTGCTCAGGGACCCATCCAACCTTCCAGGGATGGGGCATCACAGCTTCTGCGGGCAACATGTTCTGGCACATCATGACCCCTACAGTAAAAAAAAAAAAAAAAAAGTGTTCCTAACATCTAATTCAAACCTACTCTCTTTCAGTTTAAAGCCACTACTACAGCTATATTTTAAGACACTGACAGGTTGGTTTTTTAAGTATGAACCCATTAAATACATAAATACATAAAATAGATAAGTTGCTTCATCAGAATATATTCCCTGGCAGAGCCCTGAGTGCACCACCAGCTTTTACTGGTCCTGAGTCCCTGTCCATGGGCTGTCACACCATGCTGCTCCCCAGCCATGGAACCATTTGATCTTGATGCAGGCCACTACCAGCAGGCTGACATCCTGGCATTGCCTTGACTTATATGGTCAAATTATATGTTTATGAAGCATTTCTTCGGTGTCAGGAGTATAAGCAACTTAAATTTGACTGTCCTTTGATTTTGTCCTCTGGTTAAATCCTCACTTGATCGACATCCTGAGTGCTGGAGGAGGCTGTCTGACCTGAGCCCCACTGCCACAGGATGCTGTTGTCAGGGCTAAAACCATTTCATGTTGGACTGAGCCATCAGAAATAATTTTGTAACCATAATCAGAACATGAGTCATCAGAAATAATTTTGTAACACTGAACAGCTGTTGGCAAAACCAGCTTCGTTACAGGTCCTGACATGCAGGAACTAACAATATGGAAAGCAACTACTGAGGTCCTAATGTTGCAAAGAGAATATGACAAAATCATCTCATGAAGGAAGACTGGAAAACTTCAGGTACCATATTTCTTTGAAGTTAGAAAAAAAAAATAAAAATAGGAGGTGGAATCTAATAAGAATTCAAGGAAGATGATGCAGATGCTTTCAATTGCTTGAGAACTAAAGCAAAACAACAGACTGAAACAGTTACTAACATCTGCCCTTCTCCTGGACAACAACAACATTTCCCTCTCCTATTGTATGTCTGTTCTGTCATCAAAAACCTGGGAAAAGGCAAAAGGAGTTGTTTTGAGACTGCAAGGGAGAAATAGAAGAAAGCTACATCAATTTTAAGAAGAGAAATTTTTCAGATTGATATTTTAAAAATTATTTCTGACAGTAAATCTAGCAATAAAAAGAAACAGACACCAACACAGAATGACTGCTTGGGAGGAAGACAGGAATCCACATTGAAATCTCTTTAGCTGTGTAAATATAAACCTTGACAGATGGGCACTTTGTATGTGGACATCTGTGCAGCATTACAAGTGATATTGCAATAAACCAAAAGATTGCTTAGACTTCCATCCCAACTTCCTCTGATAATAGGATCAAGTGACCACAAGGACTAGGACTTTGTGGAGCAGAATTTTAAATGCTCATTACTACTTCTGAGACTGTACCTAGACATTTTAAGAATCTAATTTTGGAGGATAACAGATGGTTAAATAGCTGAACAGCCCAGACTTCATTCACAAAAGGGTGCGTCTAAAAACAAAACCACATTAGAGACTCAGAATATTCAGCTCAATAAGAACTGCAGTCACTTCAGAGAACTTTGAAGATAAATGACAAGGAAAATAAATTACTGAAGCTTCTCCACAGAATAAACAGACTGAAAGAAATTCATTTTCCACATATAAAAATGACCCTTTTTTTTTGGATCAGCTTCCATAATATAAACAGCTAGAAATATACTCATGAAAATGAGAATGAAAGACATTTTAGTGGGGTGAAAACAGCTCTGTGCCTTTGGGGGTTTTATTTGATTGGGGCTTTTGTATATGCTTCTTGCTATTTGTTTTGTTGGTTGAAAAAAGTTATGAGACCTGAATAGTTATGAAGATATTTAGCTATGCAGGTGGTAACAGAGTTATGTCTGTTATTACTACTTTGGGCTAGTATGCTATTTCTTGGCATAACTTCTAACCTTTCTTCTGGGAGTATCCATGTTTTGACAAAGAAATAAAATTACTGTAATACTGGTTTTTATTGGGTGGTCCTCAATGATTCATAACAGAGAATTTGAAAAAATGCTTATAAGCATTGCCTAACACTGCAAAACAGTCCTTATCTGCAAATGAGAAAATGCAAAGCTAAGAAGGTAAGCCTTCCAGATGGATATACGGATTGTATTGAGAAAGGACCTATTTTAATTATGCTTATGCTAGCTGCTCAAACACAACGAACTGTAATAACAGCAGGACTTTTGCTAGCACTGACAATTTTATTTGGGATGTAATTCCCTCATTCCCACCCAAGACCTGTAGCTATGCCAGTAAAAAAATGAAGTGTAGACCCAGCCTAACCTTTGTAATATCATATGTGGAAGGCTGGTGATATGGAGACTGTTACGGTTGCTGTTTGCCACAGAGATACTAAGACAGTTTTAAGTAATTTCCCTTGAATATAAGACACATCCTGCTGAAGCACCGTGGAGCTGCGGTAATCTTACCCTGCCAAGGCAGTCAGTCCCCTGCAAAGCCCTCAGGCACATGTGCATTTAATGTTCGCAAGCTTTGGCTCATATTAATTTTCTGAAAATGTCACACAAATATCCAGTAGCTAAAATGCAGACAGGAGTGTCTTTTGTCTGTGATCTAATTTGTTACCTAAATGTTAGATGGATCCATCACCCTTTAACTATGTAGCTGTTTGATCACAAGGGTCTGAGGTCCCACAGCTTTTAAGGAGGATTTACGAGGAACAAGGCTGGATTCCGCAGGTGAGTGTTACCAGTCCATCATTATAACTGTGGTCAGAAGTTTTCTGACAGAAAGCTACCATGACATCACTCTGCAATTTCTAATTTCCCTAAGTAGGCTCAGTCCTGCACTGAATCCATACAAGCAGAGCTTGTGGCCCTTAAAATGATGCGTATTTAAATAAGACAGCATGAATATTGCTAAGTGAGAATCCGGTTATGCGACAAATGAAATTAACTTCTCAGGCTTTTAATATGCACAGTGTAGTACTAAAAATGAAGCTAAAATCCATGAGAAAATGTATTTTTATGTGTTTATACATACATCTCAAATGCACAGATGCACATGTGTGTTAGATAAATAATTTTGTTATTAATATTATTAAATTATTATGATTAAATTAATTGGTTTTGAGTTCATTACTAGCAGTCATATGATTGGTATGGTATTACCCGTGTTACAAATAAATTAGAAGCAACTA